CGGGCCCCCCCCCCCCCCCGCCATTCTGCTTCGCCAGCTCGTCGGCGGGATACCCGTTCGGGCGGTGGTGTCCAGCGACCGCGTCGAGCGAGTCGTGGCTCCCGTGACCGCCCAACGCGCCGCCCGCACTCGTCGTCCGCCGCCGCTGCTCCTGCTCGATAGCCGACGCGTACGGCTTGTGCTGGTGCTGCTGAGCCCATGCAGCGCTGTGCATCCGCTCTGCTTCGTGCGCGGCGTAGTTTGACGGGTACTGGCCATTCGGATAGGCGCGGCCGAAACCTTGCGCGGCGGCATGGTCGCCAGGATACCCGCTCGGCATGCGAGGATTCGACGAAGGTCGTGTCGGTACCTGGTCAGGTCGAGGCGGAAGCGGCGGGAGGGCGGGGAAAGCGTTGCCGAAAGCGTGCTGCTGCTGCATGGCGAAAGACTGGTGGTCGTAAGGGCTGTAAGGGTATCCGGGCGCCATCTGGTGCGCGGGCGAATGGTGGTCTGGGTAGGGAGAGTGTGGGAGCGCATGTGGGCCATAGAGATGTTCGTAAGGGTATATCGGCTGCCGCGTCGGTTCTCGTAGCTGCACGAAGTCGCAGAGTGTCAGCTTCTGCGAGCGCTGCGTCAGAAGCCCGTCGAACTCACTCCCATCCGTTCCAGGTCATCGTACATCGCGTCGTCGTCGAGTCCCGCAACGCTCGCGTCGGCGCGCACGTCGGGATGTCGGAGCGCCCAGCCGATCTCGTTGTCTGCGAGAGCTTCGCCGTCGAAGCCGACTCGTCGGCGGTAGTGGAGAGGGACGGCGGGTGGAGGTCGAGGGGCGAGCATGTAGCCGAGCGAGTCTGCGCACGCAAGAGGGTCAGCTCAGCTCGCTGGGAGAAGAGAGAATGGAACGCACCGTCTTTCGGCTTCTCGAGAACCCGCTTCTCGCGCTCGAGTCGCCGCCGCTTCGAGTTGGCCTCGTCGAGCATTCTCGACCGTGTCCGCCCGCGCTCGTCCTCCCAGTGATGCCAATTCGCATACTCGCGCTCCTCAATCTGTATCCGATACGCGCCCTCAAGCCCATCAAGCCACTTCCTCGCGAGCTCGAGTTTGCGATTCCGTCGCAGCTCGATCAGGTGCGTGAGGTGGATCAGCTCGGGGTGCGTGCCCGTCTCGATACCTATCCGCTCGCGCTCGATGTCGGCCAGCCGTTCGATGTAGAGCAGGTCGCGGAGCTTGGCGAACTCGATCTCGATCTTGGTCAGCGCCTCCATCGCTTCGGCGCGCTTGCGCATGAAGGCGACGTCGGATGCGTCTGCGCGTCGACGAGAGCGTCAGCGAGAGTCAGTCGGCTGGCGGGACAAGAGCGCAACGCACCTTCTTCCTCCTCGCCGTCATGCAAGCCGTCCTCATCGTCCTGCACCTGCGAATCCTGATTGACAGCCTTCTCCTTCCCCTTCCCCTTGCCCTTTCCGCCCTTCTTCCCACCCTTCTTCGCACTAGGCGGAGGCACCTGCCTCCTCACCTCCTCCTGCACCTGCTCAGCCTCCGACTCATGCTCCTCATGTCTCTCCGCCCGCTCCATCGACTCCATCGCGACGTCCTCGTCCCCGCCCTGCGCCGCAATAACCGACGCCGAAGCGCTCTCTGCATCCTGTGCTTCTTCAGCTGCCAGTTCGACGAGTTGGTCGGCGAGTCGGTCGGGGGCGGTGTCGAGTTCGACGAGGCCTGAAGGGGCGGGGAGGTTCGAGGGGAGGGAAGACTCGGTGGAGCCATTAACGAGGGGGCGGGAGGGCTCGGTCGCAGAGGATTCGGCCTGCGCTCGAAGAAGCGGGTCAGCAAGCGAAGGGAAAGAGGAGACGAAAAGCGAGACGCACCGAAGTCGACCGGGACATCCTCTGCGCCGCAACAGCGCCGCCTCGTCCTCGTCCCCTACCCCGTCCCCGTCCTCGTCCACGTCCTCGACCACCTCTCGCAGCAGGCGAAGCTGGCGCAGCGTTATTCGCCGCATTGACGAGCGCCTCAACCGCCGCATTCGCATCCGCCTCCTCTTCAGCCTTCATCTCCGCCTCTGCGGCCTCCGCTCGCCCTGCATCGGTCGACTGCGTCTCCTGCTCGTTCGCGTTCGTCTCGTCGTCGGATGAGGAGACGGTCGAGAGGGGACTGTCGCTCCTATTCGAGGCGGCGCGGGCGGCTGAAGAGACGGATGCGGTGCTGCGTCCACCGCGTCCACCACGTGCGCCTCGGCCGCGTGCAGAACCACGAGATGCCGGTCGAGAGGACGCAGGCTTCCCAGCGAGCGCGCGCATGACATCCTGCTCCTGCTCGGTTGCCGCGTCTGTCCGACCCGCACCAAGCGCAGGCTTCTCGTCGTCGTCTTCGAGCTCGCTTAGGGAGTCGGCGACTGAAGCGGCGCGCGAGCGAGAGGGGCCGTCGATAGTTGATTCGGAGATGACGGATCCTTCTGCCGTCTTTGTGCGCTTCAAGGGCGGAGGGTCGGCGGAGGTCGTGCCGCGCGGGTCGTGGTCGGGATCTGCTTCATCGTCAGACGCAGAAGAGACGGCTTCGTCTTCCTCCTCCTCGTCCTCCTCCTCCCTCAGACGCTTGGCCCTCGCCTCGTTCTCCTTCTTCCACTCGGCAAGCAAAGCCTGCACATGCGGTCCAGGCCTGTACCCAAACGTGTCCGCCCGCGGTGTACCCTGTTCCTCGTCCTCTCCGTCCTCGTCCTCCTGATCCGCCTGGTCCGCCGGATCAGCCTGCTCCTCTTCCTCCTCTTCGTCCTGCATACCACCCGCACTCGCCCGCGCGTCGTCCTCCTCCTCACTATCACTCTGCTCCGTCAAACTCGAGTCGCTCTCATCCCCTCCTCCTCGAGCAGGCCGCGGCGCCCCAAGACTCCTCGACCGCGATCGCCGGGCATTGCGCCGAGGAGTGCTTGAGGAGGCAGCTTGGTCTTCGAGGTCGGAGCCGGCGAGGGGTTCGGTTGTTGAGCCGGCTGAGGAGAGCGAGTCGGCTTCGGAGAGGGGGGAGTCCATCGGCGAGAGGGGTCAAGGTGAGTGAGACAGGAAGTCAGGGAGGTCTGCAAGTTGACAAAGGCCAGTATCAGCTCCTGGGGCTCTTCGAGACACAGGGAACGGTGGCTGTCGCTCGACCAACCTGAGTATAAGCGTCTCGACAAGCACCGGGTTCAGCGCGGCGCGTCCGTTTCGCCCGGCTAAGCTGTTGCGAGTCGCGCTTAGAGCCTTTTGCGGGCCAGCTAGTCCCGTCGAGCAGTCGCAGACTGGTCCTGCGAGGTGGAAAGCGTGGGATTTGCTGGGTGGGGGATGGCGAGGGAGGCGAGATGTCGACGACGAGGGCGCCAAGAGGTGTGTCTCGCTCTGCACTGGCCAGAGGGCGCAAGTAGGTCAGTCTCTAACCCAGTAACGAAGCCCCTGCGCTGCTGCTCGCCCGCTGCGCCGCTCCGTGACGGCGAGCGCGAGAGACCCGTCCCAAGCTGCCGCGAAGCGACTACGCCCCTAGAGCTCCGGCCGTTCGCCCAGCCTACTCCTGCGCGCTCCTTAGGCCCACTCGAGCTACTTCTGCACGCCCCCAAGCCGTGTCGAAGCGAGAAGGCGAGCGCTCACCTCGAGGAGGGGAACGCTCGCTCGACCCGTCGCGCGAGTTGAGCGGGTCGCTGGCCTTGTGCGCGCCTGCCTGTATTGAGCGTGTGCAGCGTGTGCTTGAGTGCAAGCAGGAGCTCAGCGGGTGTGTGTTGTCGTCCTGGCTTGCTCGGGCGTCGTCTCTCCTTCCGGTCCAGCTTCCCCCTTACAACTCGCAACCTCACTCTCGCTTAGAGACCCAGCGGATACCATGCAAGTGATGCGAGCAATTCTACTCCTTCTTCCTCCCCTCGGCCGGCGCACCCAGTCCCAGCTGCTCCTTCCTTCCCCCGTCATTCTCGACAACCCACTGCGACCCAGCTGCGTTGTAAGGGAGGCCGTACGGGTACGCGGGCGTGCCGTAGGGTGAGAGGTGGGGGAAGTGAGGGTGTGCGGAGGGAGAGGGGGAGGGAGGAGGTGGAGAGGGTCGGGAGGCGAGGACGGAGAGCGCGACGGACGAGCCGTAGATCGTGATGCCGAGCGTGAGGAGGACGAAGAGCTGTGCGAGAAAGCGTCAGTAACGAGCAAGTTTGAGAGAGGCGCCGAGCGCACCATAGTCTTGAGGCTGATCACGTCGACAAAGCCATTGACCACCTCCGCCAGCGTCTCCGCCACGACCCTCGTCTTGCCCACGACCACAACCTCCTTATTCATGCACTCCTCCCACTCGACACACTGCCGCGCAAGCGCCGGCATCCTCTTCTCCTGACAAAAGTTGTCGACGTACGCTTTCGCGCACTGGACGATCTCGGAGCGTAGTTCGACGGTGAGCTCGGCGAGGCGTGCTTGGATGTCGGTGTAGAGGGTATAGAGGAAGAGGGAGAGTAAAGAGAGGACGAGGACGGCGAGGAGGGTGAGAGAGCCAAACTGGAGGTAGCTGCGGCGAGCAACCGGGTAAGTCAGGCGCGTCGACCAGAGAGGACGCCCGCACGCACCCGAGGAGAACGTAAGGCGTGCTACTCCGCATCCACCGCTCCGGCTGCGCCTCATGCTGCTGCTGCTGCATCCCGCCCATCCCAGGCGCATGATGGTGATGCACCTGAAAGCTGAACTGCGAGTCGCCCACCTGCCTTCCAACCGTCTTCTTCAACACGCCGAGGAAGCCAGCACCATCGTGCGCATCGTCGCCCTCGTCGTCCGTCTCGCCGCTTCGATGTGCACTGCGTCGCCTGCTCGACCCGCTCGCTTGCCTCCTCCGACTCGACGTCTCGCTCCCTCCCCTCCGTAGCATCAACGCCTTCTCCTCCTTCCCCTCCACGTCTTTCTCGTCATCCAACATCTCCGACTCGTCCGCCGCAGTCATCGAAACCTCCTGCACCTCCTCCTCGCCTGCCAACCCGAGCGCCTCTTTCGGATGGAACTCGGCTGCGTCAAAGCTGAGTGGTGGCGTGGAGGTAGAGGGCTCGGAAGCGGAGAAGGGTTGGCGGAAGTGGAAGGGATCGGAGGTTGCGGTTGCGGAGGGAGGGAAAGAGGTGGAGGGTCGAGGAGGGGTGTCGACATCCATCGCTTCGTAGTGCGTTCCTGCCCACGTCTGCGAGTCAGCCACACCTTCGACACATAGCAACGGCACACGCACTCTTCCTAGCCGGCTGTCCCTCCTCCTGCCCCTCCCCTCCCCTCGCAACGCTCGCAAAAGGCGAAGCAGGAAACTGCCGCGGCTGCTCCCACTCGTACTGCATCGGCGCTTCGGCTGAGCGCCGCGCGGAGGGTGTTGAGGGGCCTCCGTGTGCTGAAGGGGCGGGGAAGCGCCGCATGCTTGGTGTGGGAGGACGAGGAGAGGGTTGAGTGATGGGGTCGAGAGAGGTGCGAGGGGTGAAGGGCAGAGGACTGGGGTTCGTGGAGGGAGTCACAGGTAGTTCAGAGCTTGGTTCACGTCGTCTCCAGCCCAACAGAGAGTGTGAGCGAGCGGTCGAAGGTCGACCTCGCTCGTCGTCTTCCTCGCGCCTCTTGAACATCGCCCGCTCGCTCGCTACCACGCTTTGCGCTCCCTTAAGCTCCAACGGCATTGCGAGACTCGCCTGAAAACGCTACCGCGCAGCCCTCGCATGCCCACCGTCTCCTCCCTCCTCGACACCGGCCTCTTCCCTCCATCTCCCATTGCTGAATGGCCACCCCCTCCGCTCATGGATTGCCCCGAGGCGACATCACCCATCTCGCTGCACCACCGACTGCAGGACTGGCTCCCGTCGCGCATTGTCTACGACGCCAATCTCGCGGTCGCCCTCGAGACTAATCTGCGAAGCGCGGTGTCTGAAGCTGAGGCGGCGGCGCTTCGGGACGGTCGCGAGACCGACGTTGTCGACGATTCGACGGCTGCGAAGGTCGGAGCAAGTTTGAGGAACGCCTCGAAGCAGTTGCCATCCTATTACGAAAACCGAATCCAGGCTTGCTTCGAAAAAGTTGGCGAAGCCGCCCTTCACCTGGTCGACCCGCTTCACAGGCTCTTGAACAAGCCGTCACCTCCGACACTAGTGATTGACGGGCCAAGGGGCATCCCGCCGGTTCTTGTCAAGCCAGACGCTGTCGCAGGCGAGGACCTCTTTGGCCGCGAACTCCAGCTTGAAGTTGACATTCTCGTCCGCGAGCTTAAGAAGGATCCAAGGGCGCTTGCCGATCATGGAATCTGGCTGACAATGGAGGTGAAGACGCCGGAGGCCCAGCGACCGCCAGGACTCGGCGACTCCGGCGGGATTCACTGTCGCTTACAGGCTGCGCTAGAGAGGTTTCCGGACTTCACCATCGACCAGGTGAACTCGGCCGTCCCTGACGAGGACGTAAGAAGGGAGCTACTCACGGTGCGTTCCGTCCGCCGTTGACCCCGCGCAAATCGAGCTGACTTTTGTCCTTTTCCCGCGGACAGCGAATTGCAACAGCTCGTATCTGCGGCAACGGGCACTTCTTCTCCGTCGACAGCATCAAGTTCGCGGTCGGCCGCCTCGTCTCCGGACCAGACAACAGCTATTCCGCCATCATCTCGCCGTTCCACCCTATCGTTCCAAGCCCAACAGACAGCCGTATGCCTTCAGTCGCTCTCGTCATCCTCGCTACTCTTTGCCCGTTCGTCATCAAAGCCGACCAGGCGAACCGCGCGCTGCGCGCAGAACTGCGCCACCCCATCGTCACCGACCAAGTGACAGGCGCAGCTGACCAGCATCAAAGCCCTTCAAACGGACGCAGTGTACCTGGAGATGCAGTAAGGAGCTTGCTGTCACGCTCGTCGCGCGAAGCCTCAACCATTGCTCGCGAGGGCCTGTCAAGCGTAAGTTCCGTCGCCCGGAAACCGTAAGGCGCCGTCCTAATAGACTGCTGCTATCCAGATCTCGACCTTCCACATCATCTACCCCGACCACCACGCCGTCGACGCCTGGCGCTTCGACCGTTCGCCCGACTCCGACGCAGCAGACTCGGCCAAGCCAACTTTTCGCCTCTTCTGGCTCATTACGAAGGGAGGAGGCGGCATCGTCTACGGCGGCCGAGATCCCTGGGGTGACAAGATCGTGCTCAAGGTCGCCTTGCCCGACGTCGAGTGGGCGCTGCAAGACGAGTACAAGGTCGGCAAGCACCTGCGGGGCTTCGCAGCGGATGCGGAGGCGCCGTACATGCTCCTCAAGTCGTCGAAGCGTCGCTTGATGGCAGTCAGCCGGTATGCGGGCGAGTCTCCGGAGGAGTGGGACGATCTCTCGCGCGATGTCCGGTGCGCTCTCTTGCCACCCTCATGTATTCAATCCTGACAATTCCTCGCCATCGCAGAATTAGCCTCTTTGTCTCCCTCGTTCGCCTGCATCAACTCGCTCACGTCCAGCACAACGACATCGCTCCTCGCAACGTCGTCGTCGACGCCGACAACGCCACGTCGGCTCGGTGGATCGACTGGTCACTGGCAAAAGTCGGACACGAGTGCGGAGGAAGCGGGTGCTACGAGTTGCGACAAGCGGCGGGAGAGATGGATTTGTACGACGAAGGGGGACTCGCCGAGGACCTGCAGGCGAGGCTGGCGACTGAGGGGATGCGCTGGTAGATCTTGGGCATCGCATGGAGTGGATCGACGTCGCTTTACACGCCTTTGAACGTTACGGGAAGGAAGGACCCCGACGAACTCCTCGCGAGAACCTCTCTCCTTCCGCCCATCCGCAATGCTCCGCTCGCAACCTCAGAAACTGCTTCGCCGGTGCTTCTCCAGCTCGGCTGCGTCTCTCGCAGGACATACTGGCTCAGTCGAGTCCCGCGCCGTCGTCTTCAGCGAGCATGGCGATCCCACACGAGTCCTCCGCGCTCATCGCTACCGCCTTCCCAAGCTCGACAAGGGGCAGGTCAGGCTGCGGTTCGAGCTCGGATCAATCAGTGCGTGCAGTCTCGCCGTACGAGCGCCATGGCAACCGAGCTGACCCGCTCCTCGCTCCGCCAGATCCCGCGGACATTGTAGCCCCACTTTCGCTCGTCTCAAAGGTCCGCCTCGTCGGCTGACACGCTTGCGAGCTCTGCAGAATGTCATCCAGGGAGTCTACCCTTCCAAGCCGGCCGTGCGGGATGACATCGGTCCCGAGCCGGTCAGCATCATGGGCAACGAGGGAGTCGCAACGGTTGAGGGCTTCGAGGAGGACGGGACCGTCGAGCAGAAGCTCGAGGTCGGAGACCGAGGTGCGTTCGTTGTCGAATCTGCCCTGTGCGGCTGTTTGGCTGACCTTGCGTTGCCCGGCAGTCGTGATGGGTGCCCCTCAACTCGGTACGAATCCCGCCTCTCCAGCCTAACTCCCGACTTTGGCATTGACAGCCGACTATGCGCTCTCTACAGGAACGTGGCAATCTCATGCGAATATGCCCTTCACCTCGCTCATTCCCCTCCCCGCCTCGTCCCCTCTTTCCCTTCGCCAAGCCGCAACTCTCGCAATCAACCCGCCTACGGCCTGGCGCATGCTCTCCGACTTTGTTCCCCTCAACCCCGAAGACCCAAACGCTCTGACAAAGCAGGGCGGGAAGAAGCAATGGGTTATCCAGAACGGCGCGAACAGCGCGGTGGGTGTTGCGGTCATCCAATTGGCGAAGGCTTGGGGCGTCGGAACAATCAACCTGGTGCGGAGTCGGTGCGTACTGCTCCATACTCTAGTCTCCGCGCTTCCTGATCGTCGGCGCGGCGCAGACCATCCATCGACGAGCTCAAGTCGCACCTCGAGTCGCTCGGCGCCGACCACGTCCTTACCTACGACGAGTTCCTCTCCCGCGAGAACAACACGCGGTCAAAGATCAAGGAGTGGATTGGGAAGGATGGCGAGATGAGGCTAGCGCTCAACTGCGTTGGAGGAAAGGAGACGGCCGAGATGTGCAAGCTCTTGTCACTCGACGGCAAACTGGGTGCGTACTGCTCCTGATAGTGTCTTCTCGCCGGCGTCCTGACCCTGGCTGTGCTTGCAGTGACGTACGGCGGAATGGCGAAGACGGCGCTGGCGCTCCCGCCCTCACTTTTCATCTTCCGCAAGCTCACCTCGTGAGTCCGCCTCCTCCGCACGCATTGTGTGTAACTTGCTGACGTTTGCTACCATTCGCAGCACCGGCTTCTGGCTCTCAAACTGGGTCCAAACGCACCCGGAGGAGCGACAAACGATGATGCAGTCCCTCGCTGCACTCGTCAGTTCCGGCAAGCTGAAGGAACCCGAGACGGAGGTTGTCGAGCTCAAAGGCACGGACGAAGAGGTGACGCAGCAGCTGAGCGAGGTGATGAAGAAGATGGAAGAGGGGAGGGGGAAGAAGACGCTCTTGCACTGGAAGGACGAGTGAAGCTCTCCTCTCAAGGGCATGTTTCGTACATAGACACTCGCAATACTCGAAGTCAAGACCAGAAGCGGTCTGTTGTGATTCTGCGTTGCAGGGACGTTCGAGCGTGAGAAGAGGCGAGATAGAGTGAGGCGCTACAAGCGCAGCGGGCCAGTCGCCGCCACCGTCAACGGACGAAACGAAAAGGCCACACACAAGGCTGCCGGGCATGCGCGTCATCGGCGCAGAAGCTGCTCAACGGTCTCGTCGTCCTCCTCATCCGGATCAGAGGCTGCGGGGTCGTCATCCCCGTAGTCGAACTCGACGTAGTCGTCTCCAGCCGTGGCAGGCTCTGAATGGACCGCAGCGGAAGTCGGCTGCGCGTCAGGCAAGGAAGCGTCCCCGGCAGCACCTGCTGAAGCGTCAGTAGCCTGGGCCTCGTCCTCCTCTTCCTCGTCCACCTGGTCGTCTTCATCGGTCTCCAGGTCGTCCGACTCAACGCTCATCTCCTCGTCCTCCTCCACCTCGCCACCTTCCTCCTCGTCTGACAGCGGCACCATGAGCTGAACGAAGTCGTGCTGCTGCGAGAACCCGCCTTCGCTGTCGCGTTTCTTGAGCTTCTTGATGAGTCGGCGACCAGCCGCGCCGGAGATGCCGAGAGGTGCAGTCGAAGGAAAGGCCGTGTCGGTCGATTCGCGGCGAGGTCGCTTCGAGCCTGCCGCGCCAAACACCTGCTCCGCCTCATTTCGCTCGATGGCATCCTCCTCTTCCTCGGCTGCGTCCTCGTCTTCCTCACCACCCTGCGCATCTCCCTCGTCTTCGGAAGCCGTATGCACCCGCCGCAGTACGTGAGGCTCGCGACAACCCTTCACCTCGCACTTGCCCGTCTCTGCAAACCTCCAACATTCACGCACATGCCGCTTGTCACACTCCTCGCCCTTCTCGCACCATCCGAGCTCGACAAAGTCGCGGCAGACGGGCGCATCGGACGAGACCTTGACGTGGGCGTAAGGGCAGGTCGAGCCGCGTGTGCAGTTGGGGAAGTGGAGGCAGTGAGGCGAGCGGTGAGCGTTCGGAGAATGCGAGAGAGGGCATGTCGAGGCGAGTCGTGGGCAGGAAGAGCGGAGGAAGAGAGGGCAGATGGCGATCTTGTGCGAGTCGTGAACGTAAGGACAGGTATGTGCTCGAGAGCATTGGCCTGCGCAGAGGGTCAAGCTCGGTGATACTCAAGCAAGACGGAAGCCGAGTCGCACCTGTTCGCTGGAAGAAGCGGCACAGCTTGTCGGATTTTGGCGGTGCAGGTCTGCGAGTTGACGACGCGAAGGCACTGCGTTGACAAGTTAGCTCGCCACCGAGCGACCAGTGCGACGCTTGACGCACCCTCGTCCTCGTCCTCTTCCGCGAGCTCGTGCTCCGCCCGCGGCATTCCTCGCTCCTTGCACGCCCTTGACGATCCCGACGAGGCTATCGAGCCTCTTCCGTTTCTCGTCCATCTCCTGCTTCTTCTGCTCGGCAAGCTCCTTCTTCCGTCGTGCGAAGGCGAGCGAGACGAGGTTGCCCGACTTGGTGCGGATGTAGGTTGTGCCGAGATGCGAGGTCCGCTTAGGCGTCGAAAGCGAAGGTGAAGGCGGCGATGCGACAGTCGGCGTAGTCGATGTGGATGCTGTAGCTGAAGATGCGGTGGATGCGACGTCTGTACAGCCATCGGAGCTCGTGAGCTGTGAGAAAAGCGGGATCAAGTGATGCAACTCACCCGACTTGCGAACCAGCTTGTTCCCTCGCGTGTCCGCAACGAAGACTACGCCGTCAATGACGACTTCTCGAGCGCCCTGAGTTGGGAGAGCCGCCGCTTTGCCCTTTCCCTTCGCGGGCGTGAAAGACTCGCCGACGTCCATCTTCTCGATCGCCTGCGCAACGGGTGTGGTTCGTCCGCTCGTCGTCGTGGTCGTTGCCGAGAGCGTCGAAGCCGCCGAGGACGGGCGAGATGCTGTTGATGCGGATGAGCCAGCGTTCAGGACGAGCGTCTGGTTGCGGTACCCTCCTCTCCCCGCCGCCGACGGAGTATACGGCCGAGTGGGAACTGGCGCGGCTGGAACGGGCGCAGAAGGAGGCGTCGGCGTGTCGGCAGTCACGCTAGCAGTGCTCGTGTCGGCGAGTCCTGGCGCCACCCAAGTCGCGTTGCGGAACTGCCGTCCCTGCGCTGCTGGCGCACCTCGTCCACGGCCGCGCCCACGACCTCGCCCGCGAGACGGAGCATAAGCGAAGGGCATGCTGGCGGGACCGAAGGCGGCGGCGATGGCTTGTTGAGCGTCAAAGGCAGCTGCAGACGAGGGAGAGAAGGGTCAGTCAGCGGAGACGGCAAAGCGTGCGGGCGACTCACACTGCTGTGCGACGAGTAGCCGTTCATATTCAGCGCGGATGGCGGCCTCGTCAGCCATCCTCGAAGCTGTTTGTGAGCGAAAGTGACAAGGTCAAGGTCAAGCGGCGATGAGGAGAAGGTCTGGCATCGACGTCTCGCTCAGCTTGCGAGTTGCTGCAGCTGAGGCACTCTCGAGCACTGCTAGGCGCCTCAGACAGCCCCCGCTCTCCCGACCGACCGCTTGCATCGCTTCGTTTCCCCCCCTCCTCGACCTCATCAGCAGCAACGTTCCCCTCGCTTCGACACGCTCGGACGGACGCGTTCTCGACGTGGGACCCGCTACAGAGCGGTAAAGATCCTACCGAGCTGCTCGTTCGACCCCGCCGAGATGGTTGTACCCCTCAACGCCGCCGCGCCCGACGGCCCTTCTTCCGCTGCATCCACCTCCGCCAGCCGCGTGAACAGCGGAGCCGCGACACCGCTTCGCGAAATTGACGAGGGGGAGGTCGACCAAATCGAGAGCGACGAGGAGGATGCGGCGGTCACGAGCGGTGGGGCTGTCGCAGGTCCTGGTCCGTCCTCACTCGCGCACAGCCAACTCGCCAAGGGCGTCAAAAGGGCGGCCAGCGGGTCGCCTGCGCCGTCAACGAAGAAGCGCCGCCCGAGGACTTCCGGCGCGTCAGGACTCAGGACCTATGTTCCTCCCCCTCTCCCTCACTACGACGTCGTCCGCTCAGAGTCCAACTCCAAGAAGAACCCGCATGTCATCAAGATTCACGACGACGTCACGGACGGGAGCGAGTCGAGGTGGCCACCTGAGGGGGAACGCCAGCAAGGTCACAAGGTCAACAACAGGCTATCGTGGTACGAGTGCCAGGACAGGAAAATTGGGAGGCATCAAACGCTCAGGGAGAAGCTCGGTGAAGAATTAGCCAAGAGTATGGGCCTCACGAACGAAGGTACGTCCGCTTTCTTTTTCCGGCCTCAGAATTGCTCCCTTGACATTCGAACTCGTCTCACAGGCGCGAAGCAAGAGTACTGGGTCATCGACAACCTTCCGAAGGGTTACCTCTTCGCAGTGCACCACTGCGTCACGGGTTCGGGCGACCCTCGAACGGATGTCTACATCTTCGGTGTGTAGACTCGCTTTCTCGCTCTTCCCTTGCGCTGACTTTGCCGCTCACCTTCAGGTTCGGCCGCCACGAACAAGTTCCGCACCGCCAACGAGCTTGCCCCTCACCTGCACTGGCTGCTCCTGCACGGCCCGGACGATGATCTCCTCTGCGCCTGCAAGTACTGTTCGAAGACGAAGCAAGGCGACGTCAACCGCGTCCTCGGCCTCAACATCCGTTCGTCTTCAGTCGCTTCCACTTCCGCCGGCGTCGCTTCGCCGTCCGTCAAGCGCAAAACGGCGGGCAGCAAAGCTTCGTCGGCTTCGACCGGCGTCCAGGCCAAGGTCGCGGCATTCAGGTCGCCTGGAGGCGAGAAGCTGCTCGGCGACGTGACGTTCAGGAAGAAGCTCAAGGACGGCACGACTGTCGAGAAAAAGAAGCGCCGCTCGACGTCAGCCGAGGCAGGCGAGAGTTCTCCTCCGCCCACGTACAAAGGCGCCTACACGTCCCGCTCGCGCGACTCGGACCTCGCCTACCTCACCGCTCCACGCCAAGCCGATCTCGTCTATGCCGAGCTGCCGAAGCCGTTCCTTTCCGACGACCCCGAATGGGCGGGCGCGCAGATCACGCATTGGCCAGCTGTTGTCATGTCGAGGGTGCCGTACACCGTCGCCAAGGTCGTCGACTCCGAGCCGAAGACGAGCGGGAAGAAGAAGCAGGAGATGACTCAGGAAGAGGAGGACCTGGAGGATGGCGAGATCAAGGCGGAGGAGAAGTCGCCCGGTCCGGATCCGGAGCTCAAGTCGCTTGGAACGGCGCCGAAACTCGAGGCGAAGCAAGAGTGGCGCTACAACGTCCGTCTCCTAGCCGTCAAGGACGAGCTCCGCCTGCTCCGCGAGGACCAGCTTCGTCCCTGGCTCGGCAACCCTCCTCCGTCCGGCCTCTGGACGCCCGAGCGGATGTGCAACCCGGACGCCGTCAAGCACGTCTGGGACGGCAAGAAGACGCACAGGGACTGCGGGCTGATGAAGGACGTCAAGAGCTTGCAGGAGGCGGTCACGGCGATGGCGCTCGCTTTGCAGATTGCCGCTCATCTCGTCGGCGCCTTCTCGTTCAAGTGAGTCTTCCGCCGCGCCCGCATCTTATTATGTCTGGGACTTACTTCCGCCTCGTCACCTCCAGCGACCGCTACGAGATCACCGACGCGCACTTCGACCTCGCTACGTCCGAGCCGCTCGACCCCGGCCTCGCCGCCGTCAAAGCCCAGCAGCGCAAGTCCTGGGCCTTCCAGTCGCTGCACTGGGGCGCCGAGTTGATCTGGACGGGCGACTTCATTCGCCTCATCTACCCGTTCGGTGGGCACGAAGACTCGACGCCCATCAAGCCGACCGACCCGGACCATCGCGCCCTCTTCATGAAGGTCCTCGCCATCTACAAGACGAACGACACGGTCGACGATGTCGAGCGCGGGACGGGTATGATTGGCGGCGAGATCTGGGAGCTTAGGGATTTCGCGGCAGCGGAAGGCGCGACGAATGGGGCTACGAGCGAAGCTGGGCCGAGTGGGCGTAACGGCGTGGCTAGCGCTTCGATGAACGGCTCGGCGGGCCCGTCGACTGCGGCGAACGGCGTTGACGGCATCTCGCCCACCGTCCTCAACGGCAAGGATAAATCAGCTTCGCCGACCCCGACTGCTGACGACAAGCTTCCGCCTGCGCCGGCTGGCATGTACTGGCACCGTCTCACCGCACCCTCGACCGGCGTTCACGTCACGCTTGACTACCTCGCGGGCCGCTACCACCCGCTCCCGAAATCGCTCAACACGCAGCAGAAGATCAAGGAGGCGCTCGCTACTCTCGACGCGATGGACGAGGCTGCACAGACGAGCGCGATGCAGGACGGCTCGGAGCCGGCGCAGACGGTCGACGTCGCTCTTCCGTTCGAGCAAAGGATGATGCTGCTCGCTGGGCTCAGGCCGGCTCAGCGTCTCTACATGAAGGTGCGTGAGCTCCCTTCACATTCCTTGACGCTGTACTGACGTCCTCTCTCGGTGCAGTGCGGAGCGTACAAGGGCACTCGCCATACCGCCATCGTTGAGGCTGAGCGCAACGCTTCGGTGCGTCTCAGACGCTCATTCCCCGGTGACTCCGCTGACACTCTTTTCGACGTCTACAGAACGAGGTCGAGCAGTACTTCGCGATGGCGCACAACGGCGACAACGCCAGCATGGAGGACGACTCCGCTTGAATACCCTATTCGCGCATGCCTCACCTTCTTGCTTGTCCCCCATCTTAGACCCGTCTTACAGCATCTCATCTGTGCTTGCATGTTGTCTACGGTAGCACATCTGCAAACGAATCCGTCAAACACCTGGTCTAGTTCCGTGAACAGCAACCTCTCGCTCTCCTCTCCCGCTTCGCTCACTGTGTTCGCTTCAAAGTCGCTTTCGTTTTCACGCTACGATAGGTCTGTCCTGGTTAGCGACAGCTTTTCCCGCTTCGCTCGCCTCTCTCGGTCCGTGACATCAGCGCACTCGTCCTCCTCGTTGCACTTCCCCTACACCCTCCGGCTGCCCATTCTCTCCACTTATCGTCGAGATCGCTGGTCTCGAGTGTGTGCGACCACACTAAACCCCCTGCGAAGGCGGTGTTGCTGACCCTCTCCTCCTCCAGAATCGCTCTCCCCACATCTCGCGTCCAGCAGTGAGCTTCTCCGGGCGACTTCAGCAGAACTAGCCCCGCTTACTGACACGCTGAACTCTGTACAGACCCGCCGCAATGCCCGACTCGAAGCTCACCCGCGCCTCCCTCGCCTCCATTCCCCTTTGCTTCGCCAGCTGTTCCCTCGGCAAGCCCACCGACTCTCTATCCGATCGCCTCACTTACCTCGCCAGAGCTGGATTCGAATACATCGAGCTCTCCTTCCCGGACTTGCAAGCCTACGCCTCCTCGACGCAAGGCAAAGACGTCGGTGAGAAGGATTGGGATGCGCTGGAAGAGGCGGCGAAGGGCGTCAAGAAGCTCTGCGAAGAGCTTAAGATCAAGGTGTTCATCCTCCAGCCGTTCTCGAACTTTGAGGGGTGGAAGGAGGGGAGTGAGGAGTACAAAGATGCGTGGGAGAGGGTTGAAGGGTGGATCAGGATCATGAAGGCGGTTGGGACAGATACGCTGCAGGTGCGCTTGCTACTGAGTCTGCGAGATCGGTAACGAGGCTGCGGAGCTGACGACATTGTGCAGGTCGGCTCGACGGATGCGGACGGCATCGACACCTCACACGACAAGCTTGTCGCGGACTTGCGCAAGCTCTGCGACAGGCTTGCGAAGGAGGGTTTCAGGCTGGCGTATGAGAACTGGTGCTGTGCGTTGGCTCGCATGTTGCTACCCGTCCAGGCTCGAGCTGACGATGTTCTGCAGGGTCAACGCACGCCCCCAAGTGGAAGCAGGCGTGGGAGCTCATCCGCGACGTCGACAGGTTCGTCTCAGCTCTTCAGCGAATTTCCTTCGCGTCAGCAAGTCGAGGTTTGACCCGCTGCTCTTGCACAGGCCGAACATCGGCTACAACCCCGACACCTTCCAGATCTCTGGCGCGGAATGGGCCGACCCGACGCGCCCCGACGGCCTCGTCGAAGCGTCGAGCGAAGAAGAGCGCGACAAGCGATTTCAGGCGTCGCTCGACGAGCTGGCCAGCACGATCCCGGCGGACAAGATCTACTTCCTCCAGATCTCGGACGCCTACAAGGTCAACCCGCCTCTCGAGGACAAGGTGGTCGACGGCTTGCGTCCGCGCGGACGATGGAGCCACGACTACCGCCCTATCCCGTACACGGGCGAGGGATACCTCCCTGTCGAAAAGGTGACGAAGGCGGTCCTTCAGACGGGCTTCCGCGGCGTCTTCAGCGTCGAGGTGTTTGACAGCGGCAAGGACGGCAAGGGCAAGGACATGCAGCTGGAGGCGTACGCGAGGGACGCCATGTTGAGCGTCCAGCAGCTCCTTGACAACGTCGCGGACGACTGAGCACGCGACTTGGGGCGGTGTGTAGCATCTTCTGTAGCATGGTTCAGACGCATGTAGAGCATTCAGGAGTTCAGACGAGCGTTTCATGCGAATCGAGTGAGACGTCCTGGTCGAAGAGAGGGAGCGACGAGGTCAGTCCTGCACATCACCGGCTCAGCCCGCCAGACTTGCTCAGCGAGGCCGCAGAACTGCTCTCGAGCTTCTACGAGCCGGCCCACGAACGACCAGCTCATCCTCGACCCGTCCTCCCTTCCTCCTCTCTCCACCTCATCGGCTCGTCTCTGCGGAACACGACCTCGACTCGCAAGGCCCGCCGGCAGCAGCAGGGACTTGCACAGCCCTAGCGTTTCACAGTCATGCCGGCACTCGATCAGTTCCTGTCGGACATAGGCGCAGGCTCGCTCTCGCAGGCCATCCAGCTTCCCCCGCCAGGAGCCGATACAGAGGGTCCTGCGGCCAAGCTGCACAAGCGGTTGGAGGAAGAGATACTCGCGACGAATGTGCGTCCCGTCTGAGCCGTTCAGCCCGCGCCAAAAGCCTCGAGCTGACCTGTTCTCTCGCTTCGTGACGTTGCGACCTCGCTCTTCTTCCCCGCAGGACAAGACGCTCGACTTGCTTAAGGAGAACTGGGACGACTTCTCGACGCAGCTGAAGACGGGCGACGAGCTCATCGCCAAGCTCGAGCAGGAGGAGCGAGACCTCAAGTCGCTCGAGGAAGAAGTCGACGGACCGGTGCGCTCGCCTCGCTCCGGATGACTCGTGATCTGCCAGCTGACCGAGATGCTTGTGCCCACAGGATGCCTTCTTGCCGCCCCTTGTCGCGCATCTCGAGCAACAGCAAAATCTCGCCGCCTCGCACCTCCTCTCGACCGCTTCCGTCTCCCTTCTCTCGGCTCTTCTCGCCTTCCACACGACTACTTCAACCCTCGCATCCGCCACGACTTCGGGCTCGCTCACATCCGCCGTGGATGCCCTTCGGCAGGTCACATCGGCCGTCGAGGAAGGAGCGGAGGAATGGATTGAGCAGACGGACGTCTGGAAGTCGCTCGTCCGATGGGCTGGCGAGGAAGACAGTCGGCTCGAAGCTGCTCTTCACACAGCACTCGAGTCGTGCTTCGACATCTCCCCAGCTTCGCCCGGCAACGGCGACAAGGCGACGCTGGCCCTGAGGGAGAGGGTCACTGCCGCACCCAACGGTCCGCAGTTAAGTGTGCAGGAGGTGCTGAGCGGCCTCGAGGAGGTAGCGGAGATCACGGGGCGGCCGAGCCAGATCGAGGGCTTCTTGGCTAGGCTGGCGAAGCAGGTCCTGCGGCACTTCGTCGCGCCGTACCTCGAAGCGAACGGAGGGTCGCGAAACGGCGCGAAGGTGGCGTTCTCGTTCGAGAAACCGTCCGAAGGCGTGCACGTCGCGACACTCGCCTCGTCAAATGAGAAAGAGCACGATACGATCGCCGGACTCTCCTCCTTCCTCGCCTTCTTCACCTCGCACTCGTCGATCTTCCCCGCCGACGACTCGCAACCGCCTTCGCGCTACGCCGCCACCCTCACCGCCCACCTCACGCCGTCGCTCCAGTCCCACCTTATCTCGTCTCACCTCGCCCCGAACCTTCCCTCCTCGACCTCCGACTTCACGGCCTACCTCTCCCTCCTTTCCGCCGCGTCCGACTTCGAGTCTACATTCCTCTCTCAACATCACCTTTTCGCCTTCCTGCCCGCCTCGACTCGCCACGAAGGCCACGAAGTCGAAGAGCAGCGAGTCATCCGCTCCTGGACGGGTCGTGTGCCGCATCACTGGGCCCGGCACGTCGGAGATGCTGCACTCTCGCGCATCCGGAATGTGGTCAAGGGCTGGGACTGGGCAGAAGGCGAGATGGTCGAGGTCGAGGTTCGCGAGGAGGAAGAGATGTTGGGCTTGTTGCTCGGACTTGGATTGGCGGAGGACGATGACGAGGATGCCATCAAGAAGCTGCCGCGCGAACTTGTCCTCCAGACTGTCCCGCGCGGAGCGAAGCGGGAGATGACGAAGGAGGAGGCTCTCGCGCCGAAACCGCCTCGACCCCGTACTCCAACTCCCCCTCCTCCTGAACCTCTCGTCGTCTCTCCTCCTCCGCCTCCCGAACCCGCCACGCCTGAAGAGGCGCCGAAGCCGACGCTCAAGCGCGGCAAGCTCGGCGCAGCCAAGATCGCAGCGCCTCTTCTGCCGCGCAGTCCGAGTCCGCCGCCGCTCTTCCAGGGGGGCGACGCGCCTACCGACACGCCCGAATCGGCGCCAGCCTTCGAGTCGTCAACAGCCTCCTCCGCCGAACCCGTTGTCGAGGAGGCCGCCGATGAGCCTGTCGCACCGCCAGCGCAGGTCGAGGACGCCCAGCCCGCAACCTTCGAAGCTCACCCTCTCGACCTCGACGCCGTCGAAGCTCCTACACCTCAAATCGACGAGACCTTCGAACCCTTTGAAGCTCCCGCTCCGACTGCTGCGGGCATCGAAACGACGGCCGACCAAGCTGATCCGGAGGATGTCGTCCAGCCGCACGAGTACAGGGCGCAGGTGCATGATGGTATTGGCGAAGAGGAAGAGGTGAAGAAGGAGGAGGAAGACGGCGCCGATGTCGCGTTGAACGACGTCGAGCAGATGCGCGAGAAGGAAAAGCCGCAGGCGTCAGCTCAGGCGGAGCGCGAGGACCAGGACGAGTTGGTGCACGTCGATGAGACGCTTGAGGATTCGCACGACCTTGCGCGCGATGGCGAGGAGGAGGCCAAGCCTTTCATCAAGGAGGAAAGCGTCGAGCCACAGATCCCGCCGACGCCGCAACCGCCTCGCACGCAGGCAGCCGCTTCGTCCTGGCTTGACGACCAGTCGCAGTCGTACCAACCTCAGCCGTACCAGCCGGACGCGTATCCATCCGACTCGTACCAGCCCGAGCCGTACCAGCCTCAACTATACGAGCCCGAAACGTCGTATCAGCCTTACTCGCCGTACGAGCCCGAGCAGCACCCGCAGCTTGACTTCGACTACGCTCGCGAGGAAGAGGCCGATGTCAAGCCTTTCGAGGTGCCGGACCAGCACGACCCGGCCAACGACTTCTTCCACCATCACGTGTCAGATTCGATCGCCCCGACATACTCACCCGTACGCGACGCCGAGAATGCGCAAGCGTTTCAGCCGGAGACGCAGGCAGACGCTCCCGCCGTGTCGATCCAGGAGACGTACCAGCCGGAGGAGAACGCGCCTTACCAGGCCGGACATGGGTCTTACGAGCAGTCGGGCGAGTCCGCATTTCAGCATCCGGCGACGTACGACGACGAGGAAGACCCGTATGCCGACGAGCAGCAGCAGTGGTGGTCATACGAGCCGACTTCGCAGGTCGAGAACGATGCTGTGCGTGCGCTCCTTCATCTGTCGACCTTCTTGGCTGACTTCGTCTTCAGGCGGCGTCCGCGCCAACATTGGAGGACTCGGCGCCCTCCGCTGAGGCATACGACCCGTACGCACCCTCAGCAGCCGACCTCGACGCGCATGAGCCGCCAAGCCATGACGACTTCTTCTCGCCGCACCAGGAATCCCGACAAGCGCCCGAGCAGCAGCACGAGATGCCCGCGCCTCAGCAGGCTTACGCTTCGTATGACGCCGATTCGTACGATCCATACGCGCCTACGCAGGCGCATGCACCCTCTCCGCCAACTCGCGCCGAAGATCAGCGAGACGCCTACTTCGCCCGTTCCCAAGCCGGTGCTCACATGCCTCCGTCGGCTCCAGCTCCGCCCCCTCCTTCGACCGTTGCACCTCCTCCCGCAGGCAGCGCACCTCCTCCTCCCAAGGCGTCGGGGTCTGCGCGACCTCGCTCAAGCGCATCCAAACGGCGCGTCTTTGCGACTGACGGCTTTTCAACGCCGCCCATCGCCTCTGCACTGGTGCAACCACCCCAGGTGCTCTCGCCGCCTTCGCAACCCCCTCGCACGATCGTCTCGCCGCCTCCCGAAGACCAGCAAGCCTCCTACGTACCGATGGTCCCGTCTGCTCCTGTGGAACCAGTTCCGCCTCTGCGTCAGGCGGCGACCGCCTCTGCACCCACGACGAGACCGTCGTCGGCTGGCTTCTCGCGCTCGCTGCCTGGGCGACCCTCATCCGCTCAACGACAGGACGGCCCAATCCTCAATCACATTCAGCAGCGATTTGTCTCTCCACCTCCGACAATCGCAAACCCTTACGTCCCTATGTCGCTCCCGCCCTCCGCTCAGCCGCAGATTGCCTCTTCCTCGTCGTACATCCCGGCCAACGACCCGCTCTTCGCCGACTTGCTTGGTGGCAGCAAAAACAGTTCTAGGCCGGCCGCAAACTACTTCGTCCCCGATCCACCCGGCCCGCCGCAACGATCGTCGTCCGCCTCGTCGCACTCGTCTCGCTCTGCTCCGCAAGACCAACATCAGCCGGCTTATTCATCGCAATACGCGTCTGTTGGCTATGACTACCAGCCTCAGCGCCAGCAGCAGTCGTACGCTCCGCAGCAGCAGCCGTACGCTCCGCAGGGCGACGGAGAGAGCTTCGCATCGAGCTACAACGGGTACGAGCAGGACTCATATTCGCCATACGGCTACGAGCCACCGCAGCACTCCGCAATGCGCCTGCGCGGGGGCGGAGAGGGCGACTTCGAAGAAGGCGAGGACGAGGAGGTCGATGAAGACGCCCCTCATCTCGTCCTCCGCCTTCGTGGAGGCGCCGACCTTGGCGAAATGGATGAAGATGATGGCAATCGGAGCGCCGATGATTGGGGCTTCGGAGACGACACCCTTCCGGACGGCGGCGACGACGATGGCTGGGGCTTTGGCGACGAAGTTGTCGTCCCGCCGACTCCGCCCTCGCCTCTACCGGCCTCGCAACCTCATCCCGCCGTTGTCGCCGCGAGTACGCCCGCCACAGAACCGCCGAAACCGTCAGTCACTCGACATGTCCCTTCCGCTTCTATCTCTTCCGCAACCTCAGCTTCGACAATCCCGCCGCGATCACGTCCATCGTCATACGCGTACTCCCCTGCCGTTGCTGCCGCATCCCGCCCGGTCTCCCTTGCACCGCCTCCGCCCGAAGAGCAGGCCGAGGAAGTCGGCGACGACGCTTGGGGCTTCGACGACGAGCTCGAGGCGCCCTCTCCCGCATCCGAGACGGCGCAGATCTCGACAGTATCGGCTCCAGAAGCTCACCCGCCTCTCGATCAGCCGCAAAGCACGACCTTGGCCGAGATCCCCTCCGCCTCGCCTGCGGCCTCCGTCCCCGCCGCTCCTCATCTCGATCTCGAAGCCGAAGAGCAGGCGCCTGGGACTGGCGGCGTCGATGAGTGGGGTTTCGGCGCGGACGAAGTCGGCGACGAAGGCGAGCAGCAGCCGCAGCCTGTCGACGAGCTGGTGGTCACCGAGGACGCCGAAGAGCTGCTCGACTACGAGCGCGCTGTCGAGTCCAACGAAGGCGTGCGCGCTTCGCCGCCTCCGGCAACTGTGGCGGACGAAGTCGTCGATGCGGAAGCGGCACCGTCTTTCGGGCCGACTTCGCCAGTCACGCCCCTGGCTCAAGACGCGCCGGCGGACGCAGAGGAGCTACAGGACGACGGCTGGGGCTTGGACGACCGGGAAGAGGTGTCGCTCCTGACAACGTCCGAAAACGAACCCGTTGCGCCCCTAGAGGCGCCAATCGAGACGAGCGACACGCTCATCGGGTTCATCTCGCTGCCGCCAGCGCCGCCCGATGATGGGCCGAACGACGAGCCTGACCCGCCTTCAGTACGTTTGCGCACTCACTGGCTTGGTCGGCGTCGCTTAACGTCTCCTTCCTCGCAGCACAAACTCGATGCTTTCACGCTCGAGAACGCTCCTGAAGAGCAGCGAGACGATGGTTCGGCGGCTACCCAGCCTGCGTCCATCTCGCCTGACGCTCAATTCCAGCAAGAAGTCCGCGAAAACGTCGAAGCCCCTGAGCTGGAAACGGAGGGTCCGATGAAGACTCGCGACAGCCTCTCAGCCGCGTCGCCTTCAGCCGAACGGTCCGCTTTGAATGCTCCTCCCGAGGTGTGTGCTCACGCGTTTTTGCCGACCATTGCGTCGTCTCACTGACGCTCTGGCACGCAGGACATCGACGAGCCATTCCCTGCCATATCTCACCCCGAGGAGCCGGACACGCCCCGAATTGCCACGCCTCTTCCGCATCACGACGCCGAGCAGCCGAGCAGTGCGGCTCTCGCAACGGAGCAGAGCCTCTTCGACATTGCCGCTGGCCCTGTTGAGGATGCGGCCGTCGTGGCGGACGGCGAGAACGAGGACGGCTGGGGTCTTACGCCTGAGGACGAAGAGGACCAAGGAGCGCTTACCGCGACGGACAGCTTCCTCGCTGATCGCAAGGAAGCGGACGCACAGAACGATGTCTTTCCGGCCGTACCTGCCGTCATCGAGCGCGCCGGCATGCCAGATGACGGCGACTTTGCCGACTTCGACGCTCCGCAAGTCAGCGAGACGACCGGGTCGCACGGCTGGGAGCCGCTCGAGGATCCTGGCCAGCAGATCAGCAGTCCGCCGCTCCCTCGTACGCACAATGTCGAGCACGATCACGAGGACGTGCCAGTCATTGCCGACTCGGTCAATGTCGAGCCGTTCGCCCAGGAGCAAGTCGCGCTTCAATCATCCGGCTCGACGCCCGACCAGCCACCCGAGGCGAGCATCTCGTCGCCCGAGGTCATCGACCACGCTGATGCCTGGGACATTGACGGTGAAGGCGCTGAGCCGCTTGAAGCCGACGAAGAAGTCGAGGAGGCGCACGATGGCGTGCACGACTCGACCGTTCAGCACGAGCTCGATCGGCCGACTCAGCGAGACGACTCTGCGGTTCAGCACGAAGCGATGCGACCCATCGTCGACGACGCTGTGGTCGTTCCTGGCATTCTCTTGCCTGCGCAAGACGCCCATCCTCAGCAGCGCACCTTCACGCCGCCTCCAACGTTCTTGCCCGACAACGACGCCGCGCCGTTGGACTCGCAAGATGACGCCGCGGCAGTCGATGACGAAGGCGGTGCCGAAGTCCTCGAAGAGCCCGCTTTTGAAGCACAAGAAGGGCCGGAGCCTATCGAGGGCGAGTCGACCGTGCAGCACCAGTCGCAGCGCTCGGTAGCACTCGCAGTTGACGTGCCGCACGAACCGCTGGCCGCCGAGGAAGTGCATCCGCAGCAGCATACCTTCTCGCCGCCCCTCGACACGCTGCCGCACGAGAACGACGCCGTCCAAGGCTGGGACCTCAACGAGGAGGCTCAGGACGGCGCCGCTGTCCTCGAGCATGCCCCGTCCATCGACGTCGAAGAGCCTGCTCCGCCTGTCCCGGGCGAGTCGGCTGTACAACATGTCGCAGAGCGTCATGTCGTCCCAGCGGTTGGCGACACTGCCGAAGTCCTTCCCGCCGAGCTTCTTCAGCCCGAGCGCCACACCTTTTCTCCGCCGCCGACGTCTGTTCCGCACGAGGAACAGGCTACTATTTCGGTTGCCGAGCTTGCGGACGACGACGCCGGTTCAGACGACCCTTGGGACCTCGAGCCGGTCGAGCCTCAACCAGAGTCGGTTACTGCCGCTGCTTCCGCCGCGGAAGTTCTCGGCGCAGACGAAGATGCGGCTCACGCCGAGACGCATCTCCAGCAGCACGAGAGCGACGTTGTCGGCGACTCGGCCCTTTTCGCCGACACGGCTCCGTCCGCGACTGTCACCCAGAAGTCGGCCGAAGGGGACATGAGCGCGGATACTGCACTCGCCGCGTCGCAGCCGGCATCGGCGCCCTCAGCAGACGAAACGTCCGTCCCGCCGCTTAGCGAGCGAGCCTCCGTCGTTCAGCATATCGACGAGCGACCAGTCGCGCCTGGAAGCGTCGAAGGTAATCCCGCCGCTTTGGAACCGCAGCCTCAGGAGCACACCTTCAACGTCTCGCGGGAAGCGGTCCCTTCGTCCTCAGCGAAAGACGAGGAGGCCGACCAAGCGGTTCAGACTTCGACGAGCGCCTCTGCCTCAGGCGACGAATGGAGCTGGGACGATTTGCAGGACTCGTCATCTCCGCGCCACGCCCCGGTTCCGCTCGCCAAACTTCCGCCCGCTTCCGAGCTGAAGCCGCGCGAAGCGCCTGAGGTGCAGGAGCCGACGGAGACGCCGGAGGACCATGCAGCCGCGCCCAACCCGTCGGCTCATACCTCGAGCAAGTCTATCGACGAGTGGAAGTGGGATGGGGACGACACAGCCAACCTCGCGGCAGCCCCGGTCACCCAGGCTGCGCCTGCGCACATGAACGGCGCAGGCGCCAACGCTTCGACTCCTGCACCGGCGGAGCCAGCAGAGCCGAGCCCGTCGCCTGTGCGCCGGGAGAAGATGATGGTGTCGAAGCGTTCTCGCGAGATCGTCAAGATTGCGCAGGAGGTCCTGGTCGAAGCGTGTCATGTCGCGGATCCGTCGTGCGTTCCGCATCGCATGTCGATTCCGCTGTTCGCCGATGCTGACGATCGCTTGGAACAGCTTTGAACATCCCGACTTCTCCGTCGCCGTTGCGCCTCTCCTGCAGACCTTTGTCTCGCTTCTCTCCCTTTATCGGGCAACGGCCGCCGTGCACAACTCGAACCTGCTCGCCAGCGTTCCCGCCATCGGCATGCAGTTCGCAAACGATGCCGAGTGGATCGGGCGGGAAGTCGAGCGCATCTGGCGAGAAGCGTCGGAGGGCAAGGATCTGCAGGTCACGGCCAAGCAGGCTCGCGAAGTCGAGCTCGCCTTTCAGTCGACACGGCAACTCGGCAGGGATACTCGCAGGAAGCAGATTGTCCGTGATGAAGAAGCATTCGTCGAGCGAGGCCCGCTAACGCTCTCGCACATACAGGCGATTCAGCGTGCCGCTCTCATGGAGAGCCTCGACGAGGCGAACGGTTTCTTGCGCACCTCGGGCGACGCGCACTTTTCTGCATGCGAGCGCGCCCTGCAGCAAGTCACGCACACGCTGCACCGTCTTTCGCTCGTCTGGAAGGTGCGCTCCCTTCTCCCGTCTGGGCCATCCGCTCGAAGCTGATCTTCGGTCGCTTCGCAGCCCGTCATGACGCCCACCGCTCTCTACACGACCCTCGGCGGCCTCGTCAACGAGGTGCTCCTGCGCGTGCTCGACGAGATCGAGGACCAGACAGACATCTCGGAGGCCGAGTCGGTCCGTCTTAACAAGCTCTGCAAGATGCTCCACGAGCTCGAGTCGCTTTTCGACGGCAGCGAGGTGAGCTCCATTCGCTCGCCCGACGCCCAGAGCCCTCATTGACTCGCGCTTACGCAACAGACGACGGCCGGCCGCGAAGTCCCCGTCTGGTACAAATTCTGCTTCTGTGCGTTTACCCCTCGCTCTTCAGTATCCTCAGTCCGCTGACGAGTCGGCCTGCAGTGAGCGAGCTGCTCGAGGCGTCGATGGCCGACATCATGTTCCTGTTCGACCACTCCCACCTCGTCGACTTCTCGCCGCAAGAGATTGTCAAGCTCATCCGGGCCCTCTTCGCCGACTCGCCACTTCGCAATCAGAACATCGAGAAGATTATCACGCAGGGACATCCGGCTGCGCCGCCTGAGGAGGAGGACTGGTGAAGGAGGAAGAGGGCGAGGTTGTTGTATAGCCGCAGATCTAGAAAGGGCAGACACTTCGCATTACTCGCATGTCACAAAGTTGCATTCATCCTCTCTCGCGGCTCCAGCTCGTCACTGGAACGCAAGCACGCGAAAGACCGGATGCGAGGTCATCTCCTCCACTCTCTGCCCTCTTCTCTCCCTCCAACGTCTTCTCCTCGTGCCTTCTCGACGTGCGTGATTCTAGTCACCATCTCTGGTGACGTTTGACTGAACAACAACTTCCATGAAGCCTTGAACTCGTCTCCCTCATCCTCATCACCCTGTTCACGAGTCAACCCCAGTAACCAGGGCGCTGGGCCGATTGCGATGCTGTTAGACCGGACGACGACGGTATCTTGAGCCTACTCGCCAATCAAGAGCGCCCTACTAACCTCGGTGACCCTCCAGCAACCCTCGCTCATCTCGCTCTTCTCCTCGACCTCCTCAAACCCGACTCTACTAGCTCACCTCGAAGCAGCGAAGGACTCGAACGAAAGCTTCATCTCTCTTCTCGACGACGGGACAGATGAACGCGAAACGCTGCTCGCCTGGAACGGGTCAAGTCAGGCGGACCTCCAGGCAAGAAGCGCAAGTCTCGTTGCGCAGCGGGACTCTGCGGGTACGGCCTTGCAACACCTGCGCGGACAGGTCCTACACCTACAAGCACCCGACTGCCGGACGACCTACATCCGCTTCGGCTCGCTCGACAAGGGCAAGTGCAAGGAGGATGGACTTGGCGTTCACTTGCCTGTCGTGCACTTTCAGCTCAAGGAGCTGGGACAGGAGATGTATCTCGACATTGCTGTTGTCGACGATAAGGATGAGATGACGGTTGTACGCTGCTCGACATGGCAGGTGCGCACTCTCGCTTGCTAGCGTTTCGTCCGCTCTCCCCTGAGAAAGCCTTCATTCTTGCGCTGCAGCCAGAGGTGGAGCTCCTACCAGCTACCGACTCTTACCCTCGCCTCCTCTATCTCCCCCTTCACCTTCCGTCCTCAAACACCACTACCCCTATCCTAACACGCTGGTCCACCCTCTCCCTCCCATTGCACACCCTCCTCTCCTCCACAGGCTTGCGCTTCAAGGCAGTAGTAGGCGTCGAAGTACACGCGACATGCAGGTTGAGGCGGTATTGGTTTACGGAGGAGGGGATGTCTGCGGAGGTGGATGAGGCCATGGTGAAGCGGGGAATGATGAGGGAGATGGCGTTGTATGCCGCGGATTGAGCGGTGTAATTCGAGCGCGGATGTCTTTGTCGAAGAATGGCGCGGGTCTTGAGGCTCCTGACTGGGAGACTGCTGGCGTCCGTCCCTCCCTTTTCGCTCTGAGTCCTCAGCAGCTCTCGGCTGACACTCTCAACGTCTGTTAAGCGTCCATTCGTCAGGCTGCGCGAAGCGAGACGCCAGCGCTTTTCGCCCTCCTTCCTTTGCCCTTTTTCTCCTCCCTTTCTCGTCCATGCATCCGCCCTCGTCATCCTTCGTTCCGTACACCTCTGCTCCACTCGCACAACGACAGATCACGCCGAGTAGACCTGAAGCAAAGACTGTGCGCATCGCTCTCGCCGTGTCGATTTTCCGGTTCGTCCATTACTCCCTCCTCTTGCGTCTACTCCTTGTCGCCCTACGCCTTGCGCATCTTTGTCCTGCTCGCATCGCAGACAGGAGGATCGTGAGCCTCAAGGCGAAGACTGCGCGCGACGTTTCCACCGTCCTGCTCCTCCTCCTCTTTCTCGACCTCTTCGTTCATCCCTCCGCAAGCCCCCCCCCCCAGCTTCCGTTCAGCCTTTCCACAGGTCTCCACACCCTTAACGATAGACCCACAGCTTCTTTCACCGGATGCGACCGCATCCATCCCGTCCTCCCTTCCTTCCTCCTCCTCGCTTTGTCCCCCGCACTTCCCTTCCCTCTCGCTCTCTCGCTCGTTCACCCGCAAGGTTGCAAAGGGAGAGATGTGTCCACATTGTGAGTCCAAAGTGCGCCAGGAAATCGAGAGGAGAAGGAAAAGGAGGGGGAGCAAAAAAGAAGGAGGGAAGTGGGAAAACACAGAGTCGTCGAATGGGCGCAACCGACGTGACCGATCCGAGAGCGTCGAGGGGGATGTAGAGAACAGATAAGGTGTGTGTGAAGGCTACAGAGGGCGATGAAGCCGAGTTGAGGGCTGCGGAACGGCCGGAAGGTTAGTTCAAGTCCGCCGGGCGGCGACGACGACTTTCGGGACCCACTGGTCTGCACTATGATGTCGCACGCGGAGTAAGGGTCGATCGACGCGCTGCGGAGGGGAGACAAATGACGAGGAGTCAGCGGCTTGCGACCGACTCGAGAAAGGGAAGTTTACTCACGCCGGACGACGGTCCTCAGAGTATCCCTTTCCAGCAAGTGCAACGCTCTTGGGCACATAGATGAACGACCCGCGGTTCGCGACGCCCCACGAGAAGTGTCCAATGTGACCGGTCTCGTGGCGGCCGGTGAGGCGCAGGCCATTGTCGCAATCGTAGACCGTTCGCGCTCGGAAGCGATGAGTCTCGAGTATCTGCGAACAGACTGGTGTGAGCTTCGTGGTTACCCGTGGTCCAGCTCAAGAAAGCGGAACTGACCATCATCGTCCTTCATCCCTGCCCCTCGTCGCCGTACAGAACGCGATTGACCACCTCAATTGGCAGATCATACAGCGGCGGTATTGCATCTTCTTCCGCAAGGACCGCGTGCGCCCAAAGTGGCGTAGGAGGACGACGAACGCCTTTCGAATTTGCGGGAGGGCGAGGAGGTGGAGTGACGAAGGCGCGTGGGTCTGCGGGTGACATAGTCAGCTGTGTCAAGAGGGAGTGGAGAAGAGCCGGACGCACCATCTAGAAGCGAGAGGGAGGTGAGGGACGGCGTGTTGTGCATGTTGAGGAGGAAGTACGAAACGTAGACGAAGGCGACGAGCATCACGATCCAGGCGGGTACGAGGAGAGCCCAGTCTCTGCCGCCAAAGATTGAATGAGTAGGAGAGGCGCAAGAGGAAGGAGGAAGGAGCGCACCGGGACGGGTACCACTCGATACCGATGGCTTCCAGCCACGGCTCCGGCAAACACGCCCACGCTAGGTACGCAAAGTACGCTACATGACTGCCGATGTATAGGACGAAGCCTTGCGACTCGACTGTCGGAGCTGGGTCTGTCGGTTCTCGAGGCGGGAACTGGGCTGGGAGCGAAGAGGCGGATCGGTCGGCAGGAGGTTCGGCCAGGAGAGGGGAAGTGACGTCGAGAGATTTTGTTGGAGAGGAAGGAGCGGGAGTGCCGGGTACAACAGGAGAGAGGGCGGGAGAACTGGGTCGCGAGAGAGACTGGAGGACGGGGCGAAGAAGGGCTCTGCAAGGGGAAGCCGTCAGGACGACTGCTCGGCGGGTGACAGGAGCACACGCACGCTAGGACATCAGGGCTCGATGGCCTGTTCGGGCGGCCGTAGTGCGGCGGGAGGAGCAGATCGTTCTGCGGAACGGGTGAAGCAACGGGGCTCGTCTCGCTCGTCCTTAGTCGCGGCCGCGGCGGAGTGACATCGCCAGCGACTCCGATTCCCGGTGCACTGCTTCTCCGCCGCTGCCTCACGCGCCTCACGGCCTCACCGCCCACATTCGCCAGGTCGTCCTGCTCGAAAGCCCGTTCTTCTGCCTGAATGAGGTCCGCGAGGGTTGGTTGGGCGAGCGCGTCGGCTGCGCGGCGATTGTGGCTGCTTGCTGCGTAGCTCGACGGCAGTCTGGGGAGGCTGGACGCCGATGCGGACGCCCGGAGAGTCCTCGGATGCATGTTCGCTGATGAGGATGGGGAGAAGGGTGAGTGGCCCTGATAAGCTGCGGCTCAACTCGCCGGTGTTCAAACGCCTCCTGCAAGCCTATCTAGCCAGCCAGCATGCCCGTTCGAGCTTGTGGTGTGAGGGGTCCGTTCCCAAGAAGCAAAGGCAACTCCTCTCGCTCGCTAACCACGCCCACTTGCTTTTACCGGCGCTTTACAGGGACCGAACGTATCCCATACACGGCTGCGACCACGCCAGACCCGCCTCCCGCCAGTCCCACGGCGTCTCCCTCTCCTCCCGCTTCTTCTCTCCCTCGCTGCCGCCCTTTACCGACTCGACGCCTCCGTCCCTCCTTGCGACCAGCATGCTTCGTGCCGCGACGCGAACAGTACGGACACACTGTCGACGCGCACCATCAGCCCTGCGACTGCGAGTAGCCGCCTCCCTCTTCCCTTCCGTTCCCCCACACCCTCCTCTTCGAAGTCTTCCCTCGCGACAACACCGTTCCTTTGCGTCGCGAGCGATCGTGGAGCCTGAAGAAGAGGATGAGGGAACATCTGCCGACGTGCTGCCGCGAGCGGAGCACGCCGTCATCAGCACCTTCGGTGCGTTCCTCGCTTGCCATTTCTCGGGATGCCTGCTCACCCTCCTCGCGCCCGACAGACCTCTTTTCGATTGGCGTAGGCCCGTCCTCGAGCCACACTGTCGGTCCCATGCGGGCGGCAAAGATTTTTGTCTCGGTATGCTCGCTTTGAGCCGGCTCACGGTCGACTGTTTGACTGACAGGCTGTTCGTACAGGACTTGAAGGATCTCGGCATCCTCGAGAAGGTCCGGAAACTTAAGATAGGGCTGTACGGCTCACTGGCGGCAACGGGGAAGGGCCACTTGACGCCAGAAGCGATCATGATGGGACTTGAGGGGAGTGACCCGGAGACGATTGAGTGCGTATCGCTTCACCGTCGCAAGCGAGTGAAGTTGACGCCTCTCGACTTCCAGGACATCGACAGTCAACTCTCGCTACGCTGCCATCCTCGAAACAGGTCGACTACAGCTCAACGGCACGCACACGATCTCCTACTCGCACGACAAGGACATGCTCTGGCGCATGGAACCCTTGCCTGCTCACCCAAACGGCATGCGCTTCTCGGTCTTTGACGATGAGGGGACGCTGATGGCGACGAACGAGTACTTTTCGGTCGGAGGAGGATTCGTGGTGAATGAGCAGACGCAAGGTGCGCGCGTCTCGTCAGTATCTACTGCACTCCGCTGACCTCGTCTTCGCAGTCGACGAGAATCTCTACTATCGCGGCATCCACAAGCAAGAAGTCGCCGAGTCTCGCCGAGACCAAGCGCACGGTCTTCCGCCCGGCGCCCTCGCACCCCTCGCGCTTCCACCAGCAGAGAACGCTCCTTCAACCAACGCACCCGTCAAAGCCGAGCAACCTCCGCAACATCAGCCTCCATACCTCTTCCGAAACGCAGCTGGATTGGTCCGCCTTACCCAGCAGCATAACGTGCGTACAGGCCAGCCTTTCCTTGTCTCGCTTGCGCTGACAGCATACTTCGCGCGCAGCTTACGATTGCCCAGCTGTGCGGTTCTTGCTTGCGTCCCGACGGTACTAGAAGCTGACCTCACATTCGCAGGGTCTGGCAAAACGAGCGCGCCTTCCTCTCCGACAGCGAGATCTCCGAAAAGCTGCTCAACCTGTGGCGAGTGATGGACGCGTCCATCCATTCAGGCGTCTCGTCGACCGACCCAGAACTGCCCGGCCGCCTGCGCGTCCGCCGACGAGCGCCTCACCTTTATCGCCGCCTCTTCAAGGGCTTCTACCCTTCCCTTCTCCCCTCTTCCGCCGACTCGAACGCCGCCCTCCCTCCGCCACCTCCATCCGCATCACAACCCCTCACACTCGCTCACGGCTTCAACTTCTCCGCTCCTCCTCCTGCCTCTCGAACGAACGGCGCGCCTCTCGTCGTCGGCTCGTTCGAACACCCTCTTCCGCCTACACCGCGCACGAAGGGTCAGTTCCCGGCGATCGATTGGCTCAGCTGTTATGCTATCGCCGTCAACGAGACGAACGCGAGCGGAGGAAGGGTTGTTACGGCGCCGACGAACGTGAGTTGCACGAGGGTCGGCTGTTTCCTCGCCAGTGCTGATTGCTTACTTTGCTCGATCGCAGGGCGCTTCTGGCGTCATTCCCGCCGTCCTCAAGTACCTCATCGAGTTCATCTCGGACGACCCGGAGCGCGACATCAAGACCTTCCTCCTCACCGCCTCCGCAATCGGCATGCTCTACAAGCGCGGTGCGACCATCTCCGCCGCCGAAGGAGGCTGCATGGCCGAAGTCGGAGTCGCATCGAGCATGGCAGCGGGCGCCTTGACAGCCTGCATGGGCGGAACGCCGTCGCAGATCATGCAAGCCGCCGAGATCGGTATCGAGCACTCGCTCGGCTTGACCTGCGACCCGATCGACGGACTTGTCCAGGTCCCATGCATCGAGCGCAACTCGCTCGGCGCGGTCAAGGCTGTCACGGCGGCGCAACTTGCGCTTGCGGGCGAGGGAGTTCACTCGGTTTCGCTTGACGATGCGATTGAGGCGATGCGGTTGACGGCGCGCGGCATGCATGAGCACTTCAAGGAGACGTCGCTCAGCGGGCTGGCAACGGCCGTCAAGATTCCGCTTTCGTCCCCGGCGTGTTAGGCGCGGAGCTGGAGGACCGGTACACGCTAGACGACGGCAGGGGTTGTTTCGAGCAGTGTATAGAGGTCGTAGCTCTGTACAGTGAAATAGACACTATAATGCAGTAGGGCCTCCGTTCGCAGCTGCAATCGCTCGTGCCCTAGCGCTCGCTCCGGTCCCAACGATAGATCGTACATTCCCAAGACGCCGTCTACGCCTTCGACTTGGGCTTGCACTCGTCCCCGCACGCCCTGATCCAGACACCGTTCCCTCCTCCCGCTCCACCACTTCCCGATCCCGCTCCCTCGTCGTCCTGCGAGAAAGCGATCGCAAGTTGCGTTCCGTCGGCGTTGAACTCGAGAGCGGAGATGGGCGCAGGGTATTTCGGGAATTGGCGGAGACGCTTCTTTGCTGCCGGGTCCCAGAGGGAGACGGTCGAGTCGCCGCCACCGGTCGCGAAGGTGCCCCAGCTGGGTGGTGAACGACGTCAATTACTGCACTCTTGAATGAGGAAATGAAGCTGGACGCACACAGAGTTGAAGGCCAGCCCCTGGACGGGGTAGACCGTGTCGACGCCCTCGATAACTTGTCGGTGGCACTTGAAGGCGTACTTCTTCGCCTGCACGTCGGATGCGGGGTCGAAGAACTCGACTGCGACCCGGCCTTCGATCGAAGTCGTGACGTAGCCTACGGTCGAAGGGGGAGTCAGTCCCGACGAGCCAGATGAAGAAGAGGCTGGACGCACCTTGCTCGTTCGGCATGATCTTGACCGCCCGCGTCATGAACTTGAGACTGCTCTCCCGCATTTGCCACGGCTCGACCTCGTCCCCGCTCTTGCCCTCGTCCAGCGCCTTCTTCACCGCCGCGATGTCCCAGATGTGCACGCTCCGCCCGCCCATCGCGCAGACGATCTTGGTCTTCGATACGGAGAGGGCGTAGACTTTGTGAGGGAGCTTGAGGATGAGAGGAGAGGGGGAGGGCTGGGATGTTGAGGGGTCGATGCGAGTTATCCGGAGGGTCTGGTCCCACGAGCCGGAGACGACGGCGTCTGCGGATGGTGCAATTAGCTTCAGCTTGTCCCTCACCATAGAAGGGACACGCACTGAGCTCCTGGCTCCACTCCACACACCGCACTGCGTCGTCGTGCTTGCAAATGAGCTGACTCTCGTTTGAGTCGAAGTTGAGCCTGTCCCCCGTGCCGCGTCAGCATGGAGGGTACGCAAGGACGAGCAGGGAAGGGACGCACGATCGGACCTCCTTGCCCAGTCCGCCGACGTATGCGAGCGTCTCGCTCCGCCCTGCCCATGCAACATCCAGCACCGCTCCTCGAATCGCAAGTTTGCGCGGGTTTGTAGGGTTTCGCAAGTCGTGCAGGTAGACGGTCTGTTCGACGAAGGCGTCACGAGCGAGGCGGGGACAGGACGGACCAGAGTCGAGGTCAAGAGATGAGGGGACAGAATAGTACGAGGAGGTCAGCTGGCGCCAGGATGACCGCGTCAGATCTTCAATCCAGACTATGGACGCACCCTGTCCCAGCTTCCAACGAGCAGCAAGTTCGGGTTCGACGGGTGGAACGCGAGCGATGAAACCGAGTCGACAAACGCCGGCAGCTGGAGGTCTGCGTGCGCGGATAACGGGTCAGGACGGCTCTGCAGGAGCCTGCTGAGCAGCTGACCTGATGTCTGCGCCATGGTGAGGGTGTCGAGGCGATGGGCAGTTGTCAAACAACCGCGACGGGGACGAGTTCTCCTCGACTCTCGCTGGCTTCCTTCATGAGAAGAGTGAGAGCAGCAGGATACCTAACAGAAGGAGAGACAAGCCGGGGGAAGCGCAACGAAGGCGAAGTGGCAGGGATTCCTCCTCCTCGCTCCGCGTCTCGTACCCATTCCTTACGCCGTTCCTCCACCGCCAGCGCCCAGGAACTTCGCCAGCTTCTTGTCCCTTCCCCTTGTCGCCCGGTCTGACGTCTTCCTCCCTCCGTCGCTCCTTCCTCGCCCTCGCCCTCCTCCTCCTCGACTGGAATCTCCGCCTGAGCGAGGCGGGCCGCGCTGCTGCTGTTGCTGCTGTTGCTGATGGGGAGCATTCAAAGGTGATGCTTGAGAGTCGGAAGACGGCGGAGGCTTCGCGGAACGCTGAGACGCAGGGTGATTCGAGGTTGCGGCGAGATCGGTGTGCTTGTCGGCGAGCTTTTGCAGCTTCTTTGGCTGCAATATTGGAAGAAGGATCAGTCACTCAGGGTCAATTCCAACAAGCTCTGACGCTCTTCTGATAGAGGAGTGCCGAGAGCAAGGGAGAGAACAAGCGCCGACTTACGTCCCGCTCCAGCATGACCTTCCAGCCCTCGATCTGCTCGTCGCCCAGGCCCGTCTTCTCCCGCAGCGCCTTCCGCTCTTTCCCTCGTCTCGTCGCGGCGTCACGTTTGAAGAGAGCGGGAGAGCGGAGGTAGGTCGACTCGAGGGTGAGGACGGTCGCGGGTGAGTAGATTGACGAGCGTGAGGCGGTGGCCGGGGCCTGTGCGGGGCGTAAGCGATGACGAAGGTGTCAGCATGTGTAGAAGCCTGGACAGGCGGACTGAGTTGCACGACGCACCGATGATCCCGCTGTCGTTCCTCCTCCCGACGGCCCATCGCCCATCGCCACATCGTCACCCTCCTCGTCCTCGTCCGTCTGGTCCTTCGGTTCTCCGTCACCCACCTGGACCCTCGTCCCTCCATCCTCAGTTCCATCCTCCAAGAACGCCTCGCCCTCTCCGTCCTCTTCCTCATCAGATGAAGGCGCCTCCGCAAGCGCAATGATCGAAGCCTTGAGCGACTCGTCGAGCTTGAGCGCAGGCGGAGTCGTCTTGTTCTGCGAAGCGAGCTTGCGATCCTTGCCGCCGACAAGTAGCGTGCCGCGCGAGAACAGCCGATCGTCGTCGTAGATGTTGCGGCGCTCGACCTTTGGCGAAGCTGCCTGCGGCGCAGGTGCCGGGGTGGGTGCGGGTTCAGGGTTAGCGGTACCGTCGCGCAGACGAGCGAGGTCGGGAGGAAGAGGGGCGTCGTCCAGCAAGGCGGCGACGACTCGTTCAGTTGTCGCTTCCAGCGTTGCGGCGTCAAAGGTCGGGTGGGTGAGGCACGCGCGGAGGAAGGGGGAAGGAAGGTGCGGGAACAGGTCGAGGAGGTGCGAGATGGCCTACGGGACGAGCGTGAGCGGCGAGCGCGAGCGCCAAGATTGGGGTGCGAGAGCGTACCGAAGCAATCTCTGCCTCTTCCTCTGCCGCCCTCAAGCCCTCTTCGGCCTTCTGCTTCCCCTTCGTAGCAGCCGCCCTCGTGACGGCCTCCTCCTTGTCCCTCGTACCCAGACCAACGTCCCGCTCGGCCGCTCCGCCCACCTTCCTCTCTCGCACCAGCCTCCCCACCCACTCCCTCTCTTCCTTCTCCGCCTCTTCTCCGGCCACAGCGCGCTTCAAGCTGCCGATCAAGTCCTTGACCTGCCTAGCAACAGGTCCGACAGAGCCCTGAACGGCGTCGGTAATGGCGTTCGAGACGAAGAAGTGGACCTGGAGAGCGCGGGCGAGCGCTGTTGGCGTCTTCGATGGAGGAAGGAGGACGAGCAGGAGGGAGCGGATGGCTTCGAGGGCGGTGCTGGAAGTCGAGGCGTTGGTCGAGGACGTGAGAGCGTTCGTGACGGTCTGCACGAGTGCGTGCGACGTCTCGAGGATATCGAGGCGAAGCGAGTCGGACTGATGGGATGAAGAAGCGAATCGTTCGTATGCGCCCGCAAGCGCCTCGAGAACCTGAGTCGCCGCCTCGCCGCCTTTCGCGCCCGCCGCCGTAGGCGAGAAGCATCCGACCGTTCCCCACACGAGCGCAAGAACCGTTCTGGCCGCATCTTCTCCCTCTTTCGCTCTGAGGACCTCTCCAACTGCTCCTCCTGCCATCGACCGAACCTGTTCCGCAAGCCTCATATTCGCCGCAAGCGCATCTTCCACGACCTTCTGTGCTGCCTTTGCGTTCGTCGAGAGGAACGCAGCGAGGTAGAGCGCGAGGAGGCGGAGTCCTTGCGGACCCGCGAGAGCGCCCTTGAGCGGTGCGGCGCGCGCAACGACCGCGTGGAGGAGCTGCCGTTGCTGTGTGTCGGTGCTGGTCGGCTTGGAGTGGGCTAGGAGGGCGCAGAGCGAGTCGTGGACGGGTGGATTGGCGAGTGTCGATGGGAGCGAGGAGAGGGGTACGGTACACAGGGTGACGAGTAGGTGGGTCTGCGGTTCCAGCGAGGTCATTCTGACAACCTTGCGGGCTCTTTCGCAAGCGTCGGCAAGACAGCAGAGCGGACGAGGAAGCCAGAAGGGTTACAGATCGCGTCGAGTTGGGCAGTACAACGGCAATCCTAGTACTCGATCTCCTCCTTTTGACCTTCCAGCACTGCTTTCAACTCAGTCATCTCCCACTCCATCTCCTCGCGGTCCGCCCTCGTCGCGCGACCCAAGTCGACGAGACGCAAGCCTGCCGAAGTCTTGACGATATTGCGCGACGCGAGATCGCCGTGAGTGTAACCCGCCGAGTGCAACCGCGAGACGAGGTGAATGATGTCGCTCCTGCATAGGCCGAGAAACCGTCAGCTCGAGGACGGAGGATCAGTCAGCACGAAACCACGCGCACTTGTAAGGTGACCAGTCCTCCACTGGCTCGCCCAGTCCGGTCAAGAGCGCCATCTCGCCCGAGAATGCCGAGAAGAGGCCGTAGAAAGGAACGAGGAAGGCGGAAGAGTCGCCCGCCGAACGTTGTATGTCTTCGTAAACCTCTGCTTCGCGAATCAGCTCTTCCTCGGCCTCGTCACCCATCTCGACGAGCTTGACAGCAAGCCCCGTGGTGCTCGAACCGTAGACTTGTGTCGACGCCGAGTTGTAGAGGAGGGTGTCGAGGAGGACGACGGGCGGATCGATGGGCGGGGAAAGAGCGTATACGCTGGCGGATGGCACAGACGAGGAAAGCTCGCGATCGTCCGGCGTCAGGTCTGCGGCTGAACGCGAAGGACTGGGGTAGGCGTGATCGTCGAAGGCATCGTCGCTCGAGCTGCGCGACGACAGGCTAGATCCCAGCTGCACGCAGAAGCAGCGTTAGCCACGCCTTTGGCCGAGCTGAAGGGTGTAACAGACATCGTCATGATGCAAGAACAGCATCGGAGCCGTAGCGTGGCCCTCGGACGTCCGGACGACGATGAAGAGCGAAGTCTGTGCGAGAGACCGTCAGCTATCGCTCCACAAGGGCGTCACATGACTGCTCACGAGCTGATTTGGTGTACGCTGCGTAGGCGAGTCAGCACTGCCACACAGGATCGAGCGTGAAAGGCGATGCACCTCGAACCGCTCGCCCGTACGTTCCTCGACCTCCCGTTCCTCTTCCTGCGCCTCGCTCTTCGAAGCGGTGCCTTTGCTTAACCTCTTCAAGCGACTTGAACGACGGACGCCCCCTGCACCTCCCGATGTTCCCTGCGCACTGGCAGTCCCTGATCCTCCCGCAGGTCCCATTCCTCCTGACGTGCCCGCACCTTCGTCGTCGTCCTCTTCAGCTTCGTCGATACGGCGCGGCTTTCTCGCCGATCTCGAGAGCGTTGAGCGGCGCTTCTGCAGGTCCGCAAGCGCCTCTGCCGCTTCGACGGTCATCTGAACAGCGGCGGCGGAGATCGTCGAGCCACAGACGAGTGCCGAGTCGAGTGAGGGAGGGACGGCGAGTGTGTCGGTGTCGACGTGGTAGAGTGCGATGCCCGTCAAAACGGAACGGAGGGGGCGGTGGTTGAGGCTGTAGATCGGCGAGATGGCGAGGCGGGAGTAGGGCAGCGAGTTGATGTACTCGACGAGGCCGGCGACGAAGAAGATGCGCGTGCCGGTCATCACGGGCAGGACAATTTTCGGCTCGAAAGGCTCGCCATCCGGCTTCTGGCTCTGCGATTTCGAGACGATGATCCGGCTGGAGATGATTGCCGAAATCTGCGTGGCACGAAATGCGTCAGTTGCGTCTAGGACGAAAGCAAGCTTGACGGACCTGAACCATCGTGCGCAAATGTGGCGGAGCCGGCAACCACCTGCTCTCGGATTCCGACCAGTATACGCACTGCGTCTTCTTGTCCTTGACATAGGTTGCAAGGACCGGGAAGGCGTCCATAGCGGTCGCATAGGCGTGCAATTCCTCGAACTCGTCATCCGGCCAACCCTTCACCTCCGTGACAGCTCCAAGCCAGAGCTTGCCGACCGGCCGACACACGAGGTCCGCTTCCACCAGGGGTAGTCCGATGTCCGTGTCGTGTTCGACTCGCCAAGTCTCGCCTGGACGTAGAGCCTCCAGGACGCTCAGCGTTGCGGTACCGGTGGCGCTGAGGAGGTTCAACTCGAGGTTCAACTCGTGCGTGTAGGTGATGCCGACAGCAAGCGGTTCGAGGCAACGTTGGCGGAGGGAGCCAATGCTTGCATGCTGTGCTTCGAGGCGAACGACGAGGTCTTCGACGGAGGCGCCGATGACCGCTGGAACGTTCAAGTTCGGATCGAGGCGGACGACGGAGAGCGGAATGGCACCCTTCTGACCGTTGAAGTCGCAAGCGTGTAGCCTGCGCCGCGCGTCGGACGACTTGCGCCTTTTCCCCTGAAGGTCCAGAATGAACTCGGGAACCGGAATCCCTAGTTGGCGCCGGATCTCGTCCAGCTGGATTCGAGTAGCGTCGGCAGAATCGGCAGGCTCAAGACTTGCGGACAAAGCCTGTGAAGACTGGGCAGGGTCCTCCATCGTGATGACGGGTAGCGAGGTTGAGAGGAGCCAGGAAGAAACTGAGCTTGAAGAGGAGTCGGCGGCGAGGGAGAGGGCGCTTCAGGGGATTGGTGTGTGAGACTGTGGAATTGAACGAGCTAACTCAGTCGGCCATACAAGAATCAAAGTGCTGCTGCGAACGCACCGCAACGCTGCTATGGTCGACGCCGACAAGTCACGAACGCGACGAAGACACGTCGTGCGAAGACCCGAGCGACAGTTGCGCATTCAGATAAGCTCCAGAAGGACAGCGCGTAGCGTCGCCTGTCCCCGCTGAGCGAACGACTGAACAAGACAGCGCAAGTCCGTGGAAGGCCAGCAGGCGGCCAGCCTTGTCCCTCCGCTCGCAACTTGGCTGGGAGTGGCTTGACCAGGCTCGACAGCTCACCAGAGTACACCGCGTGACCATCCGATGGGCATCTTGCTGCCAGGCAGCCCCGTTCTCCTCTCGCTGCTCGCCCCCACCACAGACCCAGCCAACTCGACCGCCTCAGCCGCTCTCGATGCGCTCGCCCATGTGCCCAAGCAGCCCAGCCAGGCCAACCCGCTGCCTGCACTCATCAGCGTCGTCGTAGAGAGGTGCGCTCCAACTTCGCCACGGTCGTCTTATCGTCATCTCAAAAGGCTGATTGTCGCCCTCTCGCGCCATGTACAGCATCCTCGAAGTCGCTATCCTCTGGTGCGTGCCCTCATTGTCCATCCTCAGCCGTACGAGCGCCCGCTGACGCCTTGTCACTCTCTCTGACCTCGACCGAACGCGCCGTGGCGGTGCTGCGCATTCGAACTGTTCTTTCGCTCGCTCCTGCTTCGTTCAAATAGCGCAGTGGGATGGTATCTCGCCAAGAAGGGGATCGTTGATGCAAAGGCGAAGAAGGTGAGTACGGCCGGCGCCTCGTCGCTCTGTCGCTTCCTCGGAGCCGTCTTGCGAGAAGAGCGGCTGCGTAGTGTACGGGCGAGGCTGACACGTTACTTCCCGTCTCCAGACGCTCAACAAAAGTGCGCATGCTCCTGCCCATCCACCCTCCGAGCCCAGCTAACCGCTTCTCCCTCTCTCCCCGCAGTCAACACCTCGCTCTTCACGCCCTGCCTGCTCTTCAACAAAGTCGCCTTCTCGCTCACACCCGACAAGCTCGCCGAACTGTACATCATCCCGATCGGCTTCTGCCTCGTCTCGGCGTTCTCGGCGGGCGTTGCGTACCTCCTCGGACGGGTTGCGGGACTGAAGAAGGGCCAGAGGGACTTTGCAAGTGCGTCTCGCTCACCTCTACCTTGATCTCGTGTCGTCTCTCGGCATTCCTACGGACGCGCATCGCTGACCGCTCCCGCACCCTCTTCACAGTTGCCTGCGCGACCTTCCAGAACTCGAACTCGCTCCCGATCGCGCTCCTCCAGTCCCTCATCGGCGAAAAACTCCCGCTCGCGTGGGGTCCGCATGACACGAGGGATGGAATGCTCGGAAGGGGTTTGACGTACCTCGGTGAGTTGGTCCCCGCTTTCTCCTCCTCATGCGATCCGTCTCTTTTCGTTGGGGTCAACTCGCTAGGAGCTTGCGCAGAGCAAGACTGACTCTCCAAATGATGGCTCGACTACGCAGTACTCTACTCCTCGCTCGGCATCATCGTCCGCTGGTCCATCGGTGTCCGCCTCCTCTCCTCCGCCGAGACCCAGTCTCCGACGGGTGACACCAGCGCCGAGCGGGACCCCGAGCGCGGCGAGCAAGTCGGACCGGGAGTGAGGGAAGACGAGACGGACGACAGGGAGAATGACGGGTTGCTCGCGAGTTCGGGGGGAGACGGGAACGGCGAGAGCGTGCGGAGGACGATCCTCAAGAATGGTGGTGGGGCAAGGAGGACGCGTGAATCGACTGCTTCGTCGTCGACTCTCGCGCCTGATCCGTCGGCCTCGACCAGCTCGAACGGGACCGGCAAACTCGTCCCCCTTCCGCCTGACACGACCGATCACGCCGACGACCAAGGCGCGTTGTCGACTCCCCAGAAGCGCAGGAAGCGTACCCGCATCTTCCAATCTTTCCCGAACACGCCCATCCCGAGCGTCTACTCGTCCTCTTCCTTGCGCAGTAGCGCCGACTCGGCATCCTTCGACGACGAGGACGAGGATGCGGACGGCGAAGGGGACGACAGTCTCGCGTCGTCCGGATGGGACGACGAAGACGCAGAGTGGGGCGCTCGGCGCGGATTCGGGCGTCGCTGGCTCAGCACAGGCTCGACTTCGCCGTTCTTTATGCGCGTCAAGAAGGGCACCTCGAGGGCTTGGAGGAAGACCAAGAGGGTTTGGGCCAAGGTGGCCGACTTTATGACCGTGCCTCTTTGGGCGGCGGTTCTGAGTCTCGTCGTCGCGTGTATCCCTCCGCTTCAGTCGGTCTTGAACAGGGCGGAGCCGGTCAAGAGGTGCGTTCGGCGATGTCTCTTGCTCGGGAGAACCACTGCTGACTATGTTGTCCTCGCTGCGCAGCGCCATCCGCTCGGCAGGGTCGTGCTCGGTCCCGATCACGCTCGTCACGCTCGGCGCCTACTTCTACCGCCCTTCCGCCGCCTCAGCAGCCGACACCTCTCCCCTCCGCCGCGAAGAACAAGAGCTCCCACGCTCGTTCCGGTCCAAGCTCTTGCACCTCGTCAAGAAGCCTTTCAAGCCGCGCAAGAACAACGGTGACGGCGACGGCGACACGGCGAAAGGCGAGACGAGCACGGTCGTTGTCGCGGTCGTCTCGAGGATGGTTGTTGTCCCGCTCGTGTTGATTCCGCTCTTTGCGTGGTACGCAAAGGTAACGGTCAACGTCGCGGACGACCCGGTTTTCGTCGTCGTCGCGTGCTTGCTCATCGGGTGCGCTCCTGTTCCCCTCCTCTGCTCGCACGGCATGTGGACTGATCAACAAGTTGGTTGGCGCGCACAGATCCCCGACGGCAATCACCCTCGCGCAAATCACCTCTTCAGCCGCAGGCCCGACCTTTGAGAAACTCATCTCCCGCACACTGCTGGTCAGCTATGCGTTGCTCACGTGCGTTCCCTCCGTTTTCCTTCACTCTCTCCCTTCTTTCTCTCTGGGCTGACGAGTGCGTGCTTGGTCTGCGCAGCGCACCATCGACTATCGTACTCGTCCTCGCAGCCTTGTGGATCGACGGGTTGCAACATCCGCATACCTAAGCACTCGAAGAGGGAGGGACGGGAGGGGGCGCTTGTACAGACTATCTCTCTCTTTTTGGCGATTTGCCTGCACGATACAAGCAACTATCCGAGTACTGCTTTGCTCGCTTGCACTGGTCCGCAGTGTTGGTTTGGTTTGCGCGAGAGAAGCGAGGAAGGGAAAGAGATTGGGTTGGTGAACTAGTCCTCCCCATAGTTGCGAAGAGTCCTCGGCCAGCGAGCGGAGGAGAAGAAGAGAGCATCTTCTGCGCTCCGTCCTGCCAATCAGATCGGCTTGCGGTCTAGTCGGCACGCTGGTGTGCGTTGATGAGCGAGCACATAACAAGCGGGAGGAGGAAGGAAGATACACGAGACCAAGCACCTCAAGTCGGGCGAGACGAAGGAAGCGAGGAGGTGGGAAGGAGTCGGCTGCGTACGTTCCTACATCCGCTCGAGTTTTTGTCGACAATGATCGAGTCCAGCAGCCAGCGTAGGATGTATCGCACAGGAGTACCTCCAGTGTGTGGAGCGAGAGAGCAGTCCGAGAAGGTCCCTCCCTCTCCCCCTTTCCCTCGACGCTGATAAGCTCCTCCTCGCCTCCCCTTCGTTCTCCTCCCTCCAAGGAGTCTCATGCACCGTTCTGCAGCTACAGCTCGAGGAGCTTCGCGTGCGCTGCGTTCGGGCGAGTCTAGCAAAAGGTCGGCCGACGCAACAAGAGAGTCTAGGAGCGCGAGCGAAACTACCTCGACTGCGTTCCAGCAAGGAGGAGCAGCGAGGGAGCGAGCGGCTGTCCGTCTTCGTTCAAGAACAGTACAGCAGGAACAGTGGCGGCCGAACGCGAGGCAAGGGAGGGTGACGGTGTGCGCAGCTCGTGAATCAAATGCCGGCGTCGAGTTTGTCCGTTCGAGCTGGGCTGGGGTGCAGGAGAGGGAGGAGACGGGTGGACAGGGTTAGCAGCTGGGCGTGGAGAAAGGAACGCAAGCAGTGGGCGAGCGAGCACAACCAGCGCAAGCCCAAGCGAGTCGAGGGGTACGAGTGCGAAACTGTGCCACGTCTGCTGCGAGTTTTGTCACCTTGTCCCTCGAGCGATTTCACCGCCTCGCCTCGTCCACCCACCACCACCTCTCCAAAGCTACAGACTGCTACGATGGCGCACCAGGGACTCTCGCCGTACCACACCCATGCCGACCTCCTCCAAAAGGTGCGCACGCCCTCTCACTCGAACGCGAGCACAAGCTGACCCGCCCCTTATCGCACACCCCCTCCCCGTCCAACGAACCCCCCGTCCACGCGACCATGCGCGCGCATCTCGCAGTACATGGAGTTGCCGCAGGGTGGCAAGATCCAGGCTGTGCGTTGGTCGCTGCTCCTCGTCGAGCGCGCGGAGTGACCGCGGACCCCGCCGACCGACCCGACTTGGCCGGGACTGACCCTTCTTGCCTGGCTCTTTCCTTTGCTTGCTCGTGTGATGTGCTGTTCTCGATGACAGGAATACGTGCGTTTCCCCATTCTCTCCCTCGAGCGCGGTGAGGAGGGACGAGTCGCGTGCGCCGGTAAACTGACTCAATCGCACGCTCGTCCCAAACCCTCTCTCGCGCCGGCAACTCGCTCGCTCGCTCGCCCTCTCGCAGGTCTGGATTGACGCCGAGAACGGTCTCCGCTGCAAGACTACCGTGCGCCGACACTTCTCTCTCTCTCGGCTGGCTGCGCGACTTGGGGGCCGTGGCGAACGGAGCGGGATCGCCGGACTGCGGCCAGTCCCGGAGCGCGAGCGAGGTTGTGCGCGGGGATGAACTCGTTGGAGAACACTCGTGCTTCCCTTGTAGCGTAGGAGCGCACAGCTGCTGTCCTCGCTCGACGGTCCCTGCTCTCGCTCTTGGCAGAAACGACCCCCGCAACCCCGCCCTCTTGCGGCATCCGTCGCATCTCGTCCCTCGCATAACTCACACGCTCTGCCCCTTCTCGCGCAAACAGACCCTCGACGGACCCGTCTCGTCCATCGACGACCTCAAGGAGTGGAACTTTGACGGCTCGTCGACCGGCCAGGCCGAGGGCGCCAACTCGGACGTCTTCCTCCGCCCCGCAGCCTACTTTCGGGATCCCTTCCGCCGCGGTGACAACATCATCGTCATCTGCGAGACCTGTGAGTGCCCAGTGCGGTCGAGCGGGGTTGGGAGAGAGGCTCACCCGTCTTGGGGCGCGCCGCGCAGACAACAACGATGGCACGCCCAACAAGTACAACCACCGCTACTCGTGCATGAAGACGATGGAGGCTGCGTCCAAGTCGGACCCCTGGGTGCGTTGGCGCGACCTTGACCATCTTTCGCCGCTCCCTCGCTGACGCTCGTTCGCTCGCTCGCCCGCGCAGTTCGGCCTCGAGCAGGAGTACACCATCTTCGGCTCTGACGGCCGCCCTTACGGCTGGCCCGTCGGCGGTTTCCCCGGTCCCCAGGGACCGTACTACTGCGGTGTCGGCGCCGGCAAGGTCTTTGCTCGCGACATGATCGAGGCGCACTACCGCGCTTGCCTCTACGCCGGCATCAACATCTCGGGCATCAACGCAGAGGTCATGCCCTCGCAGTGGGAGTTCCAGGTCGGACCTTGTGCTGGAAAGGACATGGGCGATCACCTCTGGATGGCCCGTTACCTCCTCGTCCGTATCGCCGAGGAGTGGGGCGTCACCGTCTCGTTCCACCCCAAGCCGCTCCAGGGCGACTGGAACGGTGCCGGATGCCACACCAAGTGCGTCGCGCGCGCACCTTTACCTCAACTCGGGAGCTCGCTGACGCTCGCTTTCGTCTCGCAGCTACTCGACCGCCGAGACTCGCGCCGACGGCGGCATGAAGGTTATCGAGGAGATGATCAAGAAGCTCGAGAAGCGCCACATGCAGCACATTGAAGTCTACGGCTCGGACAACGACCTCCGCCTCACTGGCCGCCACGAGACGGGCCACATTGGTCAGTTCTCGTGGGGAGTCGCGAACCGCGGGTCGTCGATTCGTGTGCCGAAGAGTGTGGCGCTTGCGGGCAAGGGATACTTTGAGGACCGCCGTCCGGCGTGCGTAACCTTTCCACTTCTCGAGTCGGTCGCAGGTCGCTGACTTTCGTCTCGCCTCCGCAGCGCGTCGATCGACCCTTACTCCGTCTGCGACATCATGGTGCAGACCAGTACGTCCCAGAACTTGTCGTTGTCGTTCCCGCGACCCGGAACTGACTTGAACGCGTTCCACAGCCCTCCTCTCTGCCTAACATGCTTCTGTAGCCCTCTCCCACTCCTCCTCTCTGTTCTCTACACCAACCTCTCGACGCTCTCGGATCGGTCACGTCGTCGCGAACCAACTCTGTGCTTTCTCACCCCCTCCCTTCCTCCTTGCTCTTCTGATCTCGCTTTTTGGCTCTCCTCTCGTTTTTGCGTGGCGCGCTTTTGAAATCTCACAATATGGACACATCTCCACCCTTCTTTGCTACACTGTCGAGAGCGAGAGACGAGAGGGAAGTGCGGGGGATTAGGAAGGAGGACGGGAAGACGGGAGGACGGGACGGAGGACCTCGGACCCGGTATTGGAGGGCGGGGGATTACTACGGCTCTGAAGGGGGGATCGGCTTGCGGCGCGAGATGGGTGGACGAATTAACGAGCGCCGAGGGGAAGGGACGGAGGAAGGAGGAGAACGGGTCATGGCGAAAGCTCGAGAACAGTCTTTTGCTGTAGGTCTACTGGCTGTGGTTCGTCTTTGCGCAAGTGGAGCGAATGTACGAGAAACGAGATAGGTTGCGGAGATGGGGGATGGAGGGATTGAGGGAAGAGAGGAGGAGGGTGGGAGACGTCGCGCTTGTTCTGACGAGCTTGACGAGTAGATCTCTTGCGTCGTCGGAAATGGAGCGGAGAGCAGCTCGGATTCCTCAGCGACGAGGAGCGACCGAACGAGACGAGGGATGCTCGCCGCGGCCTTGCTCCTCGACTTGGATTGCGGCCTCTCGTAGACTCGTAGCAGGGATGAGGTGTGCTGGAATGGTGCTATGAATGCGAAAGATGCGGAAACTGCGTTTTGCTACATGATCCCTTCTCCGCCCTCCCATGTCTGCTCGTCTCCTTCGCACAAGCCTCTGCTGAACTCGTCCCGCATCCCATCCAACACCAACACATACCTACCCAACTCGACCGCCTTCGTCAACCAAGGCTACCGCCCTTCAGACGAGGACGAGCGAGGAGCTGACTCTCGTGGCGCATATGCTGGGCGAGAGTCGCCGCGGTTGGAGGAGGAGGAGGGGCGGTCGCGGGAGAAGGGCGGCCGAGAGTCGCGAGAGAAGGGAGGTCGGGAGTCGCCGCCGTGCGACGAGCGCGAGTCCGTCCGAGGCGCGTACGACCGCGCACCGTCGTCCCGACTGCGCGAGCCGCCGCCACCGCCAAACCTCGACGACCGCCCGTCCCTCCACGACGCCATCCTCGGATCGCGGCGGTTCCAAGGCTGGCCGTTCGAGTCGTAGAATGCGTCGGCGGCCGTGACGTCCCTGATTGCTTGCAACTCTGCTCGCTCGGCTGCGCGGTCTCCGCCCCACGTCTGTACGGGTGGAGAAGTCGAACCACCTTGGCGGTCCTCCATGTGCCGCCGCGCCGTCTCTGCCCGCTTCTCCTCCTGCCTCTTGCGCTCGCGCCTCACGCGCTCCTCATCCGACAACTCGAACTTGCTGCGGAGGATGCGCCGGATCGCCTCGGGACTGATGCGGAACTTGCTCGCCAGGTTCGGTGTCGAGTACGTCTCCGGGTCCGACTTGTGCAACACCCGAACGAGGTCCATCGCTTCGCGCGAGATGCGCTTCGGGGGCGCCCAGCCCGTCTGGAACTTGAGCTTGTTCGCCCGGACGCGCTTCTTCCATTCCGGCTCGTCCGGTTGGGGTTCGTCGACGGGGAAGAGGGGCGGCAGGCCCGCTTCGAGTCGCCGTTCTTCCTCGGCGCGCATCTCCTCCTGGGCACGGATGTGCTCCTCCCTCCTCGCCTCGAGGCGCTCGAGCACCCGCTTGTCCTTGATCTGCTCCTCCTCGGTCCTCGCAATCCCCGCCTTGACAGCGACCTGCCTCTCCCACTCCCACGCCAAGTCGAGCTGCTCCCTCCGCTTGTCCTCCTTCTGAATCTCCTTCATCTCCTGCAAGATCCCCGACTCGCGCTCCTTGTAGGCGCGCTTCAACCAACCCTTGTACGCCGCGTCGAGATCCGCATCCGTCGGCGTGCGCGCCCCTCGTCTCAGGATCTGCAACCTCAAGTCGTGCAAGTGCTGCGGGTGCAAGTCGCGCCAGGTCGACTCGGTGCCCTGCCGAGGGAGGGCCGGTTCCTCGTCGACGAAGCGGTCTGCGTTTCGCTGCTTGAACTCGCGCGAGGCGGGGGTCGGGACGCGCCTCGAGGGCGGGGTCGGGCGTCGCTCGAGGTGGTGCCGCACGAAGGGGGCGGCAGAGGGGTCGACGGAGGGAGCGGGGAGGGTGGTGGCGGGCGCAAAGGCGGATTCGTCGTCAAAGGTGTCCCAGCCTTGCTGGAAGTGGGTCGTGGGGGTACAGGAGAAGGGGCGGCGTCGCACGGAGGGGTGAGAGGCGAGCGCAGGCGATGAGGACGACGAGCGAGAGCAGGCGAGTGGGCGCGCTGCGAGGGCGAGGGTGCGCCTGACTGCCATGGTCCGCAGTCTCTGTGTAGCCTGTGTGGTCCTCTGATAGCCTCTGCAGCCCCAGCAAGCGAGTGAGAGCGAGCGCGCGAGTCCAAGTTGCGCACCGAGCGGGCGATGGCGGTGAAGGAGCGCGGGATGGAGAAAATCACACAGCGCGTCGTACAGCTAGCTGGCAACTCTAGAGCGTGTACAACTCATTCATAGACAGACTCGTATTGTCAACCAAGCACTCGAGGCCAGTCGCCTGCTCAAGGACGCGTCTCTCTCAACCTCGTCCTCCCGCTCGTCTCTCACTCGCTCAGCAAGCTACAGCAGCACACACAGACTCAGCTACAGCTACAACCATGTCACTCGACAAGTACGAGCGACTCGAAAAGGTCGGGGAGGGCAAGTCGCGACTCGCAACCTTCGCTCAACTCGCGATGGGCGAAGGCTCGGACGACGGCAGCGCACTGTGCGGGTAGACCGGGTAGTGGAGGAGATGGTGGTGGACTCAGGACGGCATGGACGGGACTCGGCGGGCAGCAGGGCGCTGTACGAGACTCGCTGGATCCACCGTTGGCTGACATCTCTTCGTCGCTCCGTTCTCCCCTTCGTGCACTTCTTCCGGCCTGCTTTTGCCCCTCCACGCACGCAGGTACCTACGGCGTCGTCGTGCGTCCCTCCCCTCCCTTCCTCCTCACTCTCAAACTAACCCCCCCTCCCTCATCTCGGCGCAGTACCGCTCCCGCAACAAAGAAACCGGCGAGATCGTCGCGCTGAAAAAGATTCGGCTCGAGGCAGAGGACGAAGGAGTGCCCAGCACGGCGATCAGGGAGATTAGTCTGTTGAAGGAGATGAAGGATCCGAATGTCGTTAGGTGCGGCGCGATTTTCTTCGTTCGCTTGGGGAGCTCAAGTGGTCTACGATTATCGCCTTCCTTCGAAGCGTATTCGCATGGGTTTTTCCTGAGAAGCGAAGCAACTGACTTGCCTCTCTCGCTCGCTCACTCGCAGGCTGCTCGACATCACCCACCACGACACGAAACTCTACCTCGTCTTCGAGTTCCTCGACCTCGACCTCAAGCGCTACATGGACAAGGTTGGAGACGGAGATGGAATGGGGCCGGAGATTGTCAAGGTGCGCGCACACTCTCGAGGGGTTGTTGATGCGAGTCGCCAAGAGGAGGGCGTGAGCTGACTCGAGTATGTTGGTCTTGAGCGCAGAAATTCGTGAGTCTCGAGGCTGTCAGGCGCAGGACATCGTTGAGGCGGTCGTGGAGCGCGGACACTTTATTCGACCGCCTCTTTCTGCAAATCCCTGTGTTCTGACACCCTTACCTCCTCTCCCTTCCCCTCCCCGTCACTCGAGCGCAGACCTACCAACTCATCCGCGGCGTCTACTACCTCCACGCGCACCGCGTCCTCCACCGCGACCTCAAGCCTCAGAACCTCCTGATCAACAAAGAGGGCAACCTCAAATTGGCCGACTTTGGACTCGCGAGGGCGTTTGGCATTCCCTTGAGGACTTATACTCACGAGGTGCGCTTCCTTCTTCCTTTCCGGGCGAGGCATTGGAAGCTGATGCGTTGGGTTGGGTTCGGGACAGATCGTCACGCTCTGGTACCGCGCGCCCGAAGTCCTCCTTGGCTCGCGACACTACTCGACAGGCGTAGACATGTGGTCCGTCGGATGCATCTTTGCCGAGATGATCATGCGCCAGCCGCTCTTTCCCGGCGACTCGGAGATTGACGAGATCTTCAGGATCTTCCGGTGCGTCTCCTTCCCTTCTGCTCTCCCTTTTCCCTCTTCCCCTCTCCCTCCGACGCCGCGAGAGAGCTGATGGTGAGCGCGCACGCGCAGACTACTCGGCACGCCGGACGAAGACGTCTGGCCAGGCGTGACCAACCTCCCGGACTACAAGACGACGTTCCCGCATTGGCACGCAAAGGACATCATGGACCACGTCCCGGGGTGCACGGAGGAGAGCGCAGAGTTGATCATCGTGCGTCGCTTCCCTCTCCCTCTTTGCCTCCTTCCTGCTCGGAGGGGAGATGGCTGACGGAGGGAGGTGCGCAGGGAATGCTCGCGTACGACCCGTCGAAGCGTATGAGCGCGAAAGCAGCACTCAAGAGCGCCTACTTCGACCACGGCGCATACGGGGCATGATGCCTCCCTCTCTCCTCACCTCTTCGCCCCGCAATCGTTCAGCCTCGCATCTCCTTCGACTTTCACCTCCTCGCTCGTTCAGACTCGTATGTTTGCCACCATCACCACCGCCGCCGTCGACGCACGGCGCACCTTCGCCCCGGCGTCCTCCTCATCTCGTCCAGGCTCGCATCTCGTCGTCACTCGTCCTCCCGATTGCATTCCTATCATGTACTTCTCTCGCATTCCGCTCCCAAATCTCCTATCTTTGCGTGCCGTCGAGAGAGTCGGAAGAGGGAGGCGAGAGGAAACGACTCAGCTTTGTTCCGTGCAGGCGACGCTCTCAGCCTCGAACTCGCGAAGACATCGCTGTCCACTGTGCATGGCTCACGCATCACGCTTGCGACGGCGCACCACTGTTAGTTTTGCAGGACTCTTGCGAAAGGTCGAGATGAGGGGAGAAGAAACGAATGGAGACGAGACGAGACGGGACGGAACGAGAGGGATGCGGATGCTTTCTACGGAGAGAGGACGATACGGTGCGGAACGAGCGGAGTCTACTAGCGACGGCGAGCGACGGGATCGGTGTAGTAGGACTGCGTGGGCTTGGACTTGTGCTTCGGCCTGGCTAGCGGCTTGGAAGACGAGGACGGAGGCGGGTTGATGTAGTCGCCTGCGTCGTCGCCGTAGGAGTCGGCGTGGCGGGAGTAGTACGTCGGCTTGGAGAGCGGGCGGGACGAGAGCGGACGAGACGAGGATGGGGGGTCGATGTAGTCGTCTGCGTCGTCGTCGTCGTCGGTGAAGGAGGAGTCTTCGTGGTAGACCGGCTGAGTGCCGTGGTGGGGCGCAGGCGACCCATACGCATGCCCGCTCGTCCCACGGCGCTCGTACTCGTCCGCCGCCCAGGGATCCCTCGTGCTCTTCGTCGCCGGCGCCTTCTTCTTCTTGCGACTCGAGAGAGGCGGGAGAGGCTCATCCTCAGCCTGCGAGAGGTAGTACGGCTCTGGCTCGTGCTTGGCCGCGAAGTAGCGGTTCGCACTACCGCGACGACGGTCTCCGCCTTCAAACTTCGAGTTCCGCCTCAGCGCCGCAGGCGGCGAGCGGTCGAGGTCGTCGAGGGGGCGGTAGTGATGCCTGGATGGCGGAGGCGGCGGTGAGAGGTTGTCCCAGTCCTCCGCTCGATTGTACTTCGGCGCCTGCTGCTTCGCCCTCTCCCTCGGGCGCCGCTCAATCTCCGCGATGTCGCTCGGGGTGAATCCGTCGTCGTCTGGCGGTGGGTGAGTTTCGGGACGGGAGGAGCGGTGAGGGCGAGACTTTTTCGGCTGGCGCTTCGAGCGGGATCGCCTCGGACCGGAGTCGTCGAAGTTGTCGGGTGGCGTGTGGCGAGAGTCGCGCGGCGTGTCGGGGTACGAGTGTGCGGGGTGAGGTCGGTCGAATTCTGGCGAGGAGGGGGCAGAGTGCGGGTCGTGGGCCAAGGCGACACGCTCCCGCTCCCTCGCCTTCTCCAGGTACTTGTCGACTACGGGGCCCTGCACAACGGAATAGGCTGAAGACTTGATCGAGAGGCAAGCAGAGAGGGCAGCACACCTCGCCATTCATGATCTGCGAAGGTGGAAAGAAAACGCATGTCAGCGGACCGCTCGGTTGGCGAGCGTGAGGAGCCGTGAAGCGAACCTTGAGGAGATACACAATCCAGGAGATTGTCCGCCTGGTCCAGATACCCAGCGGTTCTCGCGAAGTCGCGTCGAGATCGTACTCGCGCTCCGCCCAACTCGCACACGCCCGCGAGACTTTGGAGTCGTGATTGGCCGATTCGAGCGCCTGCGCGCAATAAAGCATTGACTGCAGAACATGCGGAGATACACTGCGGCAACTGGGTGAGCTGGGGTCCGTCAAGCATGGCAAGTTTGTCGAGACGCACCGTTTAGCGAGCCGAGCGAAGCTGTAGTTGTCCAACCTCGCTTCTTCGATCCGCGTAGCCAGACCTGCCGTATTGAGCTGGATGCGCAACCCGAACAACTGGATGAGCGGCCAGAAAGAGGAGAAGTCAACGTCTTGCTTCTTGAACCTGGCTGCCAAGGCGTTCGCGTCGTTGAACGGCAGTCCAAGCTCCGCATCGTGGAAAAAGGCGTCGAGGAAGATGACGAAGTGCACGGGCGCGGAGCGGACGGCGATGCTCTTGACATGAGGGAGCGGTTTCCACCAGGAAACGTAGATCCGGCACAGGTCGTCGTTGATGTGGCGAAGTGCGCCTGGCTTCAGGAAGCCGGCTTCCGGCCATTCTGACGAGTCGGTCGGAATCTCTGCGACGGAGCGGGATCAGCGAGTGGAAGTAGGGATCGGGACCCGCACTTACGTCCCACACCCTCCCAGCCGGACCTGACAGCGCGAGAGCGGGATCAGCGCCAGAAGGGGATCGCTCGGGTGTTCCGCCCTCGACGCACCCGTCTCCCTCCTTCATCTCCACACTCAGATGCGTCGGCATCACTTGCCCATCCTTCGTGCGCCATTGTCGCACCTTGATCGGGCGCTGTTCAGTCCGATCCTTCTGCAAGCGCCGGCCAAGGATAGTTAGCCAACAGTCGCGCTCGGACGGAGTAGCGACTCGCCTCTCGCATCGGCAGCAAGGCGCACGGCAAGGGTTCCTTGACGGTGGCAAGCTTCCGCACTGCCTCGACATCACCGATCTCGAGGGTGAAGACTTTCTGCAGGCAAGAGAGGGTAAGCATCCTGTGATCACCCAAACCTGAACAGCAATTTACCTCATCTTCAGCGATGTAGAGCAAGTCCATCCCGAGATCGTGCGAGAAGGCGCGCAGAAGGGCCGATAGTCCAGCTCGCCCTGTAGTATCCGCAGGTGAGCGGACGGGAATCTGAGGCTCGGACCACAGCGGACGCACCCGTCAAGGTCATGGTAGCCGCTGGGACGCCCGCATCTTCGAGGGCAAGGAAGGCCGAGTAGCCCGCCCTGTAGCACTCGTCCTCATCCGGGAAGCCCAGGCGTATGAAGAGCGTGCCTTGAGAGTTCGCCATGAGTAGCCGCCTGGGCAGCGCGACGGCAGGAGGTGGCAGAAGGGACGAACGAGGCAGAAGGGGACGAGGCGGACAATCCGCGGACCGATACCGCGAACGTTGACGCGTGGAAGAGGAGTTGATTGCGGAGAAGCCGGAGAATGGAAGAGGAGGCGAACGGCGACAAGTATGAGCAACCTCCGAGTTCGCTCCGAGTCCTAAGGTGAGCGACGTCGCGTGAACGAAGGCACGGATGCTTGAGCTGTCGTAGAGAGTCTCGATGGCCTGAAGTACGAAGGCGTGCGATGGCTGAGGAGTCGTCGAAGTTGCAAAGTCAGGAAGGTCAGAAGGTGGCAGAGACGAGGGAGGCTTCCCAGGCGCAGATTGGCGACTCCCGACAACTGGACGCCTGAACTATCGTCGGCCAGAGTCGTGACGTTTCGGTCTGTATTTGTCGCGAACGATGGGCACGCCGAAGAACGTCGCGGGCGACTTGCTCGACGACTTGTCCGTCTTCTTCCTCCTCGTTGACCTCGAAGCCTCGTCTTCGCCCGAAGGCGTGTAGGGCTGAGGGGCAGGGATGCCAGCGAATCGACGGCTAATCTGCGGGTCCTCCTTCGTCCTGCTTGGTCGCGCATTGGTGCGGAGCGGCGGCAAGTTGTAGACGTCTTCATCCGTCGATGAGCCATCCCGGCTGTCTTCGTCAGAGGAGGGATCCGAGTAGTAAGGACCATCGACAGACGGTGGCAAAGCATGTCTTGAGGTAGGGCGTGCGGAACGAGTTGAGCGGGAACGGGGGAGAGGATCATCATGGCCGCGAGACGGCTCGTCGCGGTGAGGGGGGTGGAACTCGCTGGGAGGAGACTCGGGCTGCTTGTCATGCGGAGAGAGGCAAGGAAAAACGGTTAGCGACATGCGCAGCCAAGCGGCCGATCTCGACTTGCCTCGCCCAACATGACCTGGAGACGAAAGCGCCGTGCGTTAACTACCAGTCCAAGCGGAGGCTAGGCATCGCAGGACGCACCTCGAGCATGTGTTCAGCCCAGCTGATGGTGTACCGTACGAAGAGCTTCCATCGCTCGGCCTCATGTATCGTCAACCTGAATGTCCCCTCCGCCCATCTCGTGGCGGCGCTCGCGACGATGTCCTCCTTGTCGAGATCGACGAGAACGCGAGTGAAGCCAAGCAGCTCGGCTACCACTCGAGGCGAGACCCTGCGAAAGGAGAAAAAAGCGTAAGCAAGCGATCAAAACACGAGGATGAACCGTGACACACATCTTGCCGACTTCCGCAAAGCTCGTATGGTCAAGCCTCGCCTTCCTGAGGACGTCGAACTGGCGAGTGTCCCCCAACTTCATGCGGAGGTAGAACAGCGGGACGAGCGGCCAGAAGCAGAAAAAGTCGACTGCGCCGGTCGCAAAGCAAGTACGGAGGTCGCTCGGGGAGAGGTGCTTCAGAGGAATTACGAATGTAGTGGCGTCGAGGTCGAGAAGGTGGAGAGGTACATGAGAAGGAAGATGGGCGGCGTGCGTGTCTTGATGTTCGGCGGAATTCGCGAGTCGCAACCGTACCAAGGTACGGAAATTTGGCAGTAGCGGCTCGAGAGAGCGTCGCAGTCGTGAGGGTGGTCGAACAGCATCGCTTCGGGCGAGAAGGTCTCGCCGAGGTAGATCTCTGCAAGACGCAGGTCACTTCAATCGGCTCGTAACCGGGTGAGAGCGTGTACGCACGCCCCGCAACACTCATCACGATATTCCTGACGTGGGAGGGGCGGTCAGAAGGGAGTGTGGGACTGTGATGGCAAGAGAACGCACCTGGAAGCTGAGCCGAGGGCGATATTCAGGCAGCCGGACATGATTTGGTCTGCGTGGTCGTGAGCGTACCGGGCCTCCGTGATGCGATACTCTGGTCGCTCATCCTGCCAGACAGCAGGAGCGTAAGTGTGCTTTCGGAGGGCTCGTCGATGTCGGACGCACCGCGCACAAGCCGTGAAGGATGCAGACAGCATGGCTGGAGTTGAGAATCGCGTGCACAGTCGTCTTCGGGATGAGCTCGTCAAGGACGATCGAGAAGCCCGTCTGCGACCACGGACTGTCAGAATTCTGTCCGAAAGCGTGAGCGCCACGGTTGGCAACACACCTGAGCCACGCAGTAGAGCGGCGTGTCAATGTGCTGGGAGAACGCTCGCAAAAAAGCGGACAGACCGGCACGACCTGCGGAGGGCCTTGGTCAGCACAACGGAGACATGGTCGGAAGGTGGAACGCACCCGTCAAGATGACCCTGTCCGACGGCAGCCTGGCACTCGCGAGCAGCTTCTTCGTGAGCGCGTATACGCCGTAGCCGTTCCTGTAGCACTCGTCCTGGCCAGAGTCGCCTAGTTTGACGAAGCCAGCAGGAGCACGAGAGGGTTCATCACGGCGTGACTGCTGGGACGGCCGTGAGCGGGACGGCTTTTTCGTCGTAGTCCGTTTCGCCTCGACAACGATCACACTGGGCCTGCGGTAGTGGTCGTGGCCGCCCATCTCGCGATGTGAGGGTCAACAGCGAGGCTGGTGAGCGCCGAGAGAGAGCGAGTGAGGACCGCACGTCCCACGTGGTCCACGGCATGTCCACGGAGTCGGCGACGGCGTCCTTTCCTGAACAGGAGCCGTGGACGAACTCAGCGGAGGGAGGGCGAGGAGGCAGTCGCCCACAAAGCGTGCCACGCGAGGCGCAGCTTCCTGACAGGTCGTTTGTAGCCGTATTGAACTTTCCGTAGCCTTCTGAGCCCGCCAGCTCTGTCGAGGTGAAGCGCAGGAAGCGTACCGCATCTTCGCCGACAACGACGACCTCACGATGTCGCTCATCCGCTCTGCTGCACGCCGACTGCGCCTGGGCAAGTACAAGCACTTCCAGGGAACCGACCTCAACGGTGCGCCTGTCCTGCCGTGCTGTGCTGCTGCCGCACCCGCGCTCATCGACTTCATCGCCTTCCGCTTGTTCTTTCGCACGATCGACTGCTCGCAGGGAACGAGTTCTTCGAGCGTCCACACCCCGAGGCTCCCAGTGAGCAGACTGTCTCTAGCTGAGCACACCCGAGCCGTCCTCGCTGACCTTGCGCCCCTTCGACTTTCTCATCGCAACAGACGAGTGGAGACAGGCGAAGCGCTATGTCGAGTATTTGAAGGCGGAGCCGCTGTCTGAGTACGGCTACAAGTCCATCCCAGGTGCGCTCGCAAGGTCACACCGCTTCCACGCCTCGCTAACTTCCGATTCGCAGTTCAATGGTCCTCTTGGCTTCGACGAACTCGACGTGATCCACCGACTCTTCAAGAGCTACAATCAGACGTCCAGCGACAGCTCAAACTGCAGGAGAACGTGCAGCGGCTCGAGCAGGAGTACAGGGAGGAGAAGATGCGATTGGCGGAGGCGCACCAGGCCGCGCTGTTGCAGGCACCTGAGGCTGTTCGTGGCGCTGTGACGCGACAAGGATCGGGTGAAGCAGGAGTGGAACCGGCGGCTGAGCCAAGTCAGGAGGGCTTGCCCCTGAAAGACGGCGGTGCGGGTGAGATTGCTGGGAAGAGAGCTGCTGAGATTGCGCGGCGAGTCGGGACGGGCGAGAGTGGTGGAACAGAAGGAGCGGCAGCTCCTGAGGGCGCGACACCGGAGGAGATGGCCGAGATTCGGCGGCGGCAGGAGCAGGAAGCGGCGATGAAGCGGAGGGCAGAGGTCGGCGCGTCCGCTTCTCTCCCTTCAACGCATTTCGGGACTGACTCGTACGCCTTCACAGCCAAGGAGAACCCGACGCCGTTGCGAGGGAACCCCGGCGATGCGCACCAGCCGGCAGGATGGACACCTTCGGCACCAGCGAGGCGGAGGGAGTAGCACTCGTACGATTCGCACAGCAACTCTCATCAACCAGACCGCTTGTAGAGACGGCAACGTCGTTGCGCGTTTTGCTTGGAAGTGTGCTGCTGGACTACAGATGCGGAAAGGAAAAACGCCTCGAGAAAGCGGATGAAGGATGAACAGGGTATCAGAGCTGGGCCCACCACGACTCGTCTAGCAGAAAAGGGAGCCTCCTTCGCACGTCTAGACCGTACTCCTGAGGCCGGCCGCGCTCTTGCCGATCTCGCTGACGCCGCTGACCCGGCAGACCTGGCCAGCAAACTGCGGGTGGTACCGCGCACCGGTGAAGGGGTCCTCGACGGCGGGCGCGTTGGCGTAGATGGGCGTGAGGCTCGCGGGGCAGACGTCGAACGGCTGATGCAGGTCATAGTCGATCTCGATCGCGTCCCGAGGGTACTTGTTCGCCGTCGAGATGACCGTGTTCGCTTGCTGCTGAACCGCTGCCGCAGGGTTGAGGTCGAGGAGCTTCTGGGCGAACGAGGCGGCGGTCGGGTAGTTCTTGGCTTTGGAGAAGGTCGTCATGGCGAGGCGGAGGGCGAGCTGGAGATGTGCGGGCTGGAGGCGGCAGTGGGTGAAGTAGGCGGCGAGCTCGAGCTGGCGCTTGAGCATCTCGGGCTGCGCCGCGATCCGTCGTCGCTCAATCTCGAGCGAAAGGCCGATCAGGTACTCGCGGCAGACGATGACGAGCTCCTGCAGCTCGGCGGCCTGCGCGGCCGTCTCGGTGAGGACGAGGAGGAGCGACTGGAGGATGGAGCGGAAGATGTCGGCGGCTTCGACGAACTTGGCGCGCTGGAATGCCGCGTATGCCGCGCGAAGCTCGTTCTGCGTGATGCTCTGCAGCGACAGCGTCGCGACAGGCAGGACGGAGCGCGGCTCGTTGCGGTCGGCGTTCCGTCGCAAGGGGATCTCGAGAGGCGGGAGGGAAGGGGCGGCGGGGAGGTAGAGGCGGGATGAGCGATAGACGGAGAGGAAGAGGGGCTTGAGAGGCGCAAAGTTGACGATGCCGACTTGTCGGTTGAGGAGTCCCATCGCCGTCTCGAACGAACCGGCGGCGACGTGGTCGGCGGCGAGAGGCGAGTTCCGCACCCACAGCTCGGATTCCGGAATGCCAGGCTGCACGGGCCCGCTCAGCTCGTCCTCGGGACTCGCTCCTGCGCCAGCCAAACCGTCTGCTGCTCCGCCGTCGCCAGCACCGAACGCCTCGCCGTCTGCTCCGTCACCTTGGCCATCTTCGTCGCCCGCAAGGTCCCACGCGTCCTCCGCCTCCTGCGCCTCGTGCTTGTCCAGGCGGTCCTCCGCAGCCCATGCCAATCCGCCCTCCTCACCAGCAACCGCCTGCTCGAGCAAGTCCTCCTCGTCGTACGCATCAAGACCAGTCGGCTCACCATTCGCCGCCGCAGCGAGCGCACGGTCGAAGAACGACTCGGTGACACCGACGGAAGGCCAGTTGGAGTCGGCGGTCGGGTTAACGGGGCGAGGGGGACGAAGGGTGGAACGCTGGTGCTGCGAGGGGGGGAGGACAGGCTCGACCTCCTCGGCGGTTAAGCCGGCAGACTCGAGGATCTGCTGCGCGAGCTCGTCGAGGCCGTTCGTCTTGGCGGTCATGTAGGCAAGCGGGGTCATCCCGGCCTCGGCAAGAACGTTGACGCGGCCCTCAACGTTGCCGGTGTAGAGCGCGTTGTGGGACCGCGACATCGGGTCGCCGCGCATCTCGGCGATCTTGCTCATCTTGCCGAGCTTGTCCTCATTGCCGGTGACGAGGTAGAGGAAGGAGAGGCGGTCAAAGTTCTTCGTGCGCTGGTAGGCGATCTCGACGATCTTGTGATTGCCCTGCTTGAGCGCCTGCTGGCCGAGGCGCGCCCAGGTGTCCTCGCGGTCGAGCGACTTGGCCATCTCGAGCGCGACGTCGAGGTTGCCGCACTCAATGGCGAGATCGAACCGCGTCGTCTTGTCCTGGACGAAGTGGAGGGCGATCTGCGAGAGAAACCGGCTCGATGAGCGGAAGCACGGGAGCAGCAACGGCGCACAGACGCACCTCGGGGAAGCCCTTCTTCTGCAGATACGCGATGATACTCTGTCCGACCAGGTTGCTCGTCTTGATGATGTGGAGGACCTCGTCGTAGTTCTTGCGGACGAGGGCGAGCTTGAAGCGGTACTCGGTCGGGTCGATCTGGACCGCCTCGACGCGCGCGTCGCGGGTGAGGACGTGGACGGTCTTGGCCTTAACGCGGACGAGGTAGACGGGCTGCTCAAGCGTCTTGATGATGCCGTTGTCCCCATTCGGGAGTGCGTACTTGATGTGGTTGAGCGTCGTGTAGAGGAAGACGCCGGCGTCGTCCCACGCGCCCGACTTGATGCGGATCGTCTCGTGGATCAAGTTCGGGTTGCCGAGCGTCTTGTTGGCGAGGACAATCGTGTGCTTCGAGAGGAGCGCGACCATCGAATTGTCGTTCGACCAGACGACGTACTTGACGAGCGGGGTCGCAATCTCCGAGATGACCTTCTGCTGCTGGATGTCGTACAGGACGACGCTCGTCGCAGTCGAGAGGAGGAGGCTCGCCGTGCCGCCGAAGAAGATGTCCTGGACCTGGACGGGACACTTGATCGTCTTGGTGATCGTGTTCTCGAGGTCGCGGATCTCGATCGTCTGCGCCTGGCGGTCGAGGACAGCGAGGCGGTTGCGCGCTACGAAGAGAGCCGACTGGCCCGTCCCGCGCTTCCCCTCGCTCGCCGAGTCGCGCACCTCGCCCGACGCAAGGTCCTTCGGCAGGCGGACGAGCTCGTACAGCCCGTTGTCTGACGCCGACGTGACGATGACGGCCTTCTCGGCGGGGTTGTACGAAAGCGTGCGCGGCTGCTGGTACTGCGTGCCGAGGCGGCGGACCGAGACGACGCTCGTGTCCTGGCCGGTCGAGAGGTCGTGCGCGCGGACGTGCTTGTCACGGACGTAGAAGAGCATGTTGGCGTGCATCGAGAAGGCGGGTCGCTCGCGGTCGAGCTTGAAGACGATCAGGCCCGAGTCGTGGCCGGCCGCAAAGAGGTTGAGCTTCGGGTGCGCAGCGAGGACCCAGAACCGGTCGTTCTCGCGGCGGAAGGTCTGCACGGCCGTGCGCTTCGTCATGTCCCACACGCGAATCGTCTTGTCCTCCGAGTCCGAGATGATGAGCTCGTGCTTCGGGTGGAACAGCACCTGCGAGACGTTGTTGTAGTGTCCGCGGCACGTATCGACCTCCCACGCCTTAGTCTCCGACATCCGCCACAGCTTGATCTGGCGGTCGTCGCCGCACGAGACGATGAGGGGAAGAGTCGGGTGGAAGGACGCCCAGTTGACGCCGCGGTCATGGCCCTCGAGGACGTACTTGACGACCGCGTCCGTGTTGCCAAACAGGTCGGCCTGACCCGCGTTCGCACGCTGGATCTGCTCCTCGAAAGAAAGGGGCGCCGCTGTTGTCGACTTCTTCCGGAGGCCTGTGGGGGGAAAGCGTGAGCGGGCGGAATGAAGTTCTACTCGGCGAGATCACGCACCCGAGATGTCCCACACCCGCACAGTCTGGTCCATCGAAGCCGAGACGACGTAATCCTCCTTCGGGTGGAACTGCGCGCACCTGTTGAACACCAACCCGGGCGGATAGGCGTCAGTTTCCGTCAGCGGAAGGTCCGCTTCGCCGACACCGCATATGGGCTTCAGACGCACATGATGTAGTGGTTGTGACCTGTCAGGATGGCGATACAAGTCCTCGACTGCCAGTTCCAGATCCGGATCGTCTGGTCGTCCGAGGCCGAGATGATCCACGGCTGTTCGGGGTGGAAGAAGACGGTGCGGACGTAGTCGAGGTGGCCGTGCAGGGTGAAGAGGCATCGGCGGGTCTTGTAGCTGTTTGGCAGAAGGAAGGGGAGGAGGAGAAGGGAAAGCGGCGAAAGTTCATCAGCAAAGGCGGGGTCCGCGATGTCGTACATGCAAAGGTACGCACTTCCAGACCTTGATCTTGTAGTCGTCACCGCCCGAAACGAAGAGCGGCTGGGTCGGGTGGAAGTCGATACCGCGAACGGGACCTGCGAGGGAGCGGAAAGATGTGAGCGGGCAGCTCGGCGAGAGTATGGCAGCTGCTTGAGGAGGTCGCGTCGACGTGGCACCCTGCGGCACTTCCCTCCGCCTCGGATCGCACAACCGCTTGCCTCAGGGTGTCCAACGAGCCTCCCGCCGCCGACACGAAAGCCAGACAGGCGGACTCACCATCGTGCTCCTCGAACCTGTCCACCAGCACGCCCATCTGAAAGTTCCACAGCTGGATCGAGCCCGAGTGGAGCGACGCGGCGAGGAGGGTGAGGCGCGGGTGGAACGAGATGCCCTTGACGCGGTTCGAGCGCGACTCGAACTGGGTTTGTTGTTGCGCGTGGCGAGAGTGACCATGTGGGAGTGCACAGCGTCAGCTTCTGGTCCGCCTGAGCTGTGGACCGACGAGACGAGGAGCGCGACGTAGCGAGCGGGGGAGTGGGCCTTGCTGCGTGGCTCGTTCGCTGGCAGACTCGCGCGCACCTTTGTGAGCATCTGCATGGCTGTCGGTAGTCCCTGCGGACGCGTCTCAGTCACAACGGGCGAGTGCGAGGCGTAGCGGGTCGATGTGGGACGTGGTCGCGAGCGAGAGGACGAGAGAGGGTGCGAGGTGCGCGGAGGGAGGGGTTTCCGGTGTGCTGGAGTCGGCTGGAGGGTGTCCCGTGCTGCCCTGTGCACGTCCGAGCGAGTTCAAGCCAGTCGCAGCAAGTCGCGGTGGGTCGTCCTTGAGACCACAAGCTTGAGCAGGACCACAACCCGCTCTCTCGCTCACACGCCGCCTGTCGGCCTCGCTGTTGCTCTCATCGTCTTCTGCACCCTCGAGCATCCCAGGTGAGCCGCTCGAACGGGCGCAGGAGGTGGTTTTGCCGTGCCACTCCTCCTCTCCTCATCTCTCGAGACGACCGTTCAGCCAGCTCGCGTGCTGTGGGCGGGCTGGTGGGCGGTTCGCGAATTCGATTGACATGAGGGGACTAATGGCGTGCTCTGTCCGCAGCTCCACAACCTTTTGCACGTCCGTCTTCATCGCCTCTCTTTCGTTCGGTTTCCTCCTCCTCTCACACTATCCCTCCAGCTTGATCCGGCTCGTACAACATGATTGTCCCCGTTCGGTGCTTCAGGTGAGCCTGTCCCCGGACCTTGCATGCCGGTTCGTGGCATTGCTGACTTCTCCTTGCCACTCCTCACCAGTTGCGGCAAAGTCGTCGGAGACCGCTGGACCGGCTTCTTGCAACTGCTGGAAGCAGGGCACTCTGAAGGGTACGTCGGGGCGCGCCTACTCGGACCGCACTGCCTGACTGACCCGGACTTGTGCGAATGCAGTGAGGCGCTCGACGGCTTGGGCTTGAAGCGGTACTGCTGCAGGAGGATGATCCTGACCCACGTCGACTTGATCGAGAAGTTGCTGCACTGTGCGTCCGTTCCTCGTGTTGCTCGGCTTGCGAACTCGTCGCTGACACTTACTCACTCTCTACCTATGCAGACAACCGTAAGTCCCACATCTTTCGTTCAGCCGCCCAAGTGGGCGTTTCCCGCGCTGACAGCGTGCTGATCTTCTCTCCTTTTCGCGACTTGCAGCCATGGAGCGTCGGCAAGGCGAGGGCGCGCGATGAGCGAGTTGAGCTGGACGGCGGATTCGCACGAGCGGAGCTTGCACGGAGTAGCGGGCGTGTGCAACTGTACGATCAGGGCGTCTTCTACCTACCTCTCTGCTCGCGAGACTCGCTGCCGCCTTGTCGAGCTCGTCGCGACTCTCCCTTGCTCGGACAGAGGCTTTTCCGACAATCTAGCTTTTTCCGCACCCCTCCCTCCGCTGTATCTTCTACGCCAACGGAATCCCCTTCTCCCCCTTCCCCTCCTGATAAACCCCACTAATCCTCCCATACTCGCCCCTCACTTTCTCCCACAACGCGACCAACTCGTCCTTTTCTGCGCCCGCTGGGATCTGCGACAGGAGTGTTGAGAGGGGAGAGGAGGTGAAGAACTTGTTTGTGCGGTTGTAGAGGGGTTGAGAGGAGGAAGGAGGGGAGGAACAGGCGCCGCAGGGGACTTGGAAGCTGTGTAACGGCGGCGTCATCAAGTAGATCAGCTCTCCGTTCCTACGTCTGAGTTGGACAGTTCCCTGGCTCCGCAACGTACACTTCTTTGAGGATGTCGATGTCGTACGGGATCGAGAACGCGTCGCGGGTGTCCTCATAAGTGAAGAGGTAGTAGAACGTATCAAATCCTCCCCAAGTGATGCCGGACAGACCTGCGCCGCCCGCCTCGTAAGTCAGAGACAGGTCATGGTGTGGACGGAGCGGGGGCACGGACAGAGAGAGCAAGGCTCGTGGGTTGAGAAGAAGATGCAGTTCTTTGCGTCGGGTCGGGTCGAGCGGTCGATGGCGTAGAACTGCTGGATCGTCTGGATCTCGCCATGCTGTGCGTCACTCAGAGGCGTCAACGCATGCCTCCTACCGACTCGTGAGGTGAAGCAGGCGAGGCACAGCTCGAGCGAGACGCACCAACAACGGCGACTCCGTCTCGTGGTTCGTTCCAACCGTCACGACTTCCAACGACTCCTTCTCAAACACTGCCGCGCCAAAGACCTTGCTCCCGGACTCGACTCCCTTCTGTGTGAGCGGTACGATCTTGTCGAGCGTTGTCGTGAGGAAGAGACGGAGAAGCTTCGCGGGAGAGTGGGCGGGGGCGGTAGGTGCCATCTTAAGGACTGGTAGGGCCTGTGCGAGTGTGCAGCTAGTCGTGCGAAGGCGATACGAGGGAGAGAAGCGTCGTCGAAAGGTGGGGCGGCCGAGATAAGCGGGCGGGCGGAGATGGCGGGCGAGAGGAGTCGCGGCGGAGCGTCGGCAGCGTCGAGAGTAAGGCGTACAGCAGCAGCCAAGACTGGCGAGGTCGAAGCGAGCGCGACGGAGTGGGGGGCAGAGCAAGCGAGGAGCGGACGAGCAGCGGAAGAAGGGAACGGTCGACGACAACGCCAGCAGGACAGCACGCTGAGGGCTCTCCAAATACCCAAGCAGAGCGCAACGACGCGATGCAGTATGCTAGGCAGAAAAGAAGAGACGAGAAAGGCGAGCGAGGCGACCGTATGTACACCGAGATCCGTTCGCTCCGCCCGCTCAACAGCTTCACAAGTAGACGACGTCTAGTTCTTGACGAGCGTGACGACGCTGTGAACCGGAGAAGTCAGCGAAAGCGCGACGGAAAGAGGTAGAAAGCGGGAACGCACTCCTCGTCTGCAAGGACGTGCGAAAGTCCGACCTTCTGTCCGCGCGAGTGCTTGACCGACGTGCCCCAGACCTGCGAAGTATCCGACATCAGCTATCTATCGTGGCATCAATTCGACAACAGAGCAATCGATCCTCGACATCTGCCGGCAAACCCACCATCGCGTGCTTGAGCTGCTTCGAGATGTCCTTGTGGATGGCGTTACCTGCGAAGCCAGGCGTCAGTTCGTTCCCGAGTCGCACAAAAAGACGTGCGAACGCACAGAAGTCCTCGACCGTGCATTTGTCCTTCTTCAGCACGACCGGCGCGGTGTAATCAGGCGCCTTGGCTCCGCGCGGCTTCGTGTACACCCGCACGAGGCTGAGCTTTTCCCACATCGTCTCGAGGAGCCTGATGGATCGGACGTCAGCCGTTGAGGCGAGAGAAGGAGGCGGAGTGACTCACTCGTCAATGTTGAGCCACTCCTTGACAGAGATAGGGACCGAGTTGGGAATGCGGTACAGCAGGTCGAGCTCTTCGATGCTGATTGCGTCTGCGGAGCGCAAGAGGCGTCAGCAACGCGCACGAGAGTCAAGCTCGAGGCGGGCGAAGCGCACCGATCTTGTTGAGGACCATGATCGCTGCGAACGGAGATCGTGTCAGCCGAGCGACTCCATGTATCGCGATATCTGCGGAGCATGCGGTGCTGACGACGAGGAAGTAACGATAGAGGCCAGCAGACGCACCAGGAATGTAGACTCGGTTGCCTGTCGCGCGGAGGAAGCGTGCACTCGTCAGCAAGGGCTCGAAGCCCGACTGTAAGTAATGGGCGACTCACCCTCGACGACATCAACGAATTCGTCAACAGTCGGGTCGCATCGGATGTGGACGTCGGCATTGGCCATGCGGTACTCGCTCAGGACAGCCTTGATCTCGTCCGCCGTGATCTTCGTCAGCGGGACCGTGTTGGTAATCGCAATCCCACCCTTCTCTTTCTTCTTGATTGTGATGTTCGGCGGCGTCTTGTTCAAGCGAATCCCGAAGCCTTCCAACTCGGCTTCGATGACGGCTTTGTCGGCGAGCGGCTTGAGGACGTCGAGGACGATGAAGATCAGGTTGCAGGTCCGCGCGACGGCGATGACTTGTCGACCGCGTCCCTTGCCGTCCTTGGCGCCTTCGATGATTCCGGGCAAGTCGAGGATCTGGATCGGCGCGCCGTGGACGGTGAGGGTGCCGGGGACGCTGCGGGTCGCACCTAGGTCAGCTCGTCGACACAAGATGAATCAGCACGCATGTGTGCGCTGCTCACGTCGTCAAGGTTGCTGCAAGCGAAAGCTGGTCAGTCGGAGCGAAAAAGAAAGACGAGAAAGCTCGAACGCACTGAACTCGTACGCCGCCGCAACCGATTCCGTTCCGGTCAACCCGCTCATCAAACTCGACTTTCCGACGGAGGGGAAGCCGCTGTGAGACGCGAGGTGCGAGTCAGCAAGTCTGAGCAAGAAAAGTCTGCCCTTGTCGCTCGTTCCGCACGCCCAAAAAGGACGACCGCGACTCACATGAATCCGACACTCGCAACACCACTCCGTGCAACGTCGAAACCGATGCCAGGTCCTCCTCCGCCGCTAGATGTCGGCGTCAGAAGTTCACGCTTGAGCTTCGCAAGCTTCGCCTTGAGCTGTCCCAAATGGTACGACGTCGCCTGCATAAACGGCTGGTTAGCCTTATGAGCGCTCAGTAGGCGACAAACTAACACGCCTTATTCTTCTGCGTATGCGCCTATTGGGAGAAGTCGACGGTCAGCGAGGAGGTTCCAATGAGCAATTCGACCCTTCCTCCGTAGGCGGGACAATTCCACCGGCAGCACAGCCTCCAATGGCGAGGTAGCGAGGCAGAGGGCGAACATCAGAGCAAGAGAGCGACGTCTCACCATCCTGCGGACGAAATCGAGTTAGCAACGTTCTGTAGCGCTACGAACGCTTGAAGGACAGCGACGAGCTCTTCTTCGATTTTTTTTATCTGCTCGACCGCGGTTTCTTTGCCCATGGTTGCCTGTGTGTCGCTGGGGGAGAGTAGAAGGCGAGGGAAGAGGTCTGGAGGATCGGGGAGGAGGTGAGGCGCTCAAAAGTCGCGGCGCGGGCGGGGTTTTCGACTCTGTCGTCAGAAGACAACATTAACGTGTCATTTGTGAGCTTGGAGAGTTTGCGCCGTCAGGCCTGCTTGAGCGTACGCCATCCTCGCATTCCATCGCGTCCTCCGACACCCGCCAACCAACAACTCCCGCCGAGCTCCGCCCATATTCGCCAATCCTGCTTGTACATGCTCTCATCATGCCCGAACTACTTCCACCCGTCTCCAGACCGTGTAACCGCGAGGAAACCGGACGCACCTTGGAGATGATGAGATTCGACAAGTCGAACTGTGGCGCGGCTGAGAGTGGCTGGCGGGCTGCCGGTTGGCTCGTAGGCTCAGAAAAGTAGCTGAAAAGCGATGTGAGCTTTGAGCGAGGCGCTAGCAGCTGATGTGAGTGCGAAAGAGCAAGTGAGCCCGGCCGACCCTCGCCAGCGGCCGAGGAGGCAAGTTTGTATTCAGCTTTGTATTGCCGCGACTATTCAAGGTAATAGCTCGTTCACTCTCACATTCCCAGCAATCTGCTCGAGAAACTGATGCATCGTCAAAGAGCCTAGTTACGTCGTCGAACGCCCGCCCAGTCCACCCACTCAAAGGCCGTCAACGACCTCCGGCACCGGGAACGACATCCTGAAGCTCGTCATGTGCACGTTCAGCTTGTTCGACCACAGCTTGAACTTGGGGAAGCCCTTGCCGTCGCCAAAGCCGGACCAGTCTTCGTCCGCGCCGTCCTCAGGCGCCGGCTCCATCGTCGTCAACTTGGACCAGCCAGAGGCGGCGGGCTCGACAACGTAGGTCTTGTCACTGGCAACAAGAGCGTGCACGTTTTGACCGGACTCTTTGAGGACTTCAAGCGTTGCGGAGGAGGTGGACGAGGCGGCGGGAACGGGAGGCTGGACGAGCGCAGCTTCGTAGCCCGACATCAGACTCTGCGAGATGCGCCAGTCGAGCCACGTTGTCGAGACGGGGAGAGCGAAGGGTGTCGCACGCGAGTCGCGGAGGAGGCAGCGGAAGAAGGGTTGCGAGGGAGACGAAGGGTGCGAGACGGTGAGAAGGGTCGAGCCGCGCGACGTCGTCGAGGGCGTGAAGGAGAATTCGGCGCGGTGTCTGCGTGGCCCAGCGTCAGCATGCTCGGACGTTGTTTGCCAGCTCGTTTGACGCACTTCGGAATGCCCCAGTTCCTGCGGCCGTTTGCAACGCTCGCGTCGGTGCTCACGTAGATACGCGAGATGGCCAAGTGATATTTCGGCTCCTCGCCGTTCTCTGCGCCAGCTCGACTGAAGAGCCCAGGGATGTACATAAGCTCGTCGTAGGGTCCAGCTGCCAGAACGTCGGGTCAGCCGGAGGTTGCGGATGGCAAAGGGTGAGCTTCCGCACCTTCGTCCGACGTGTACCGCACGATCATGACCATCCCAACGCCGCCATGAAAACGCTTGCCCTGGTCTGCGCTCGTGCCCGTCTCAAGAGGTGCGTAGGATCCGTCGGGGAGGGGAATGGGCGTCTTCGAGAATGGCGTGGAGATGGGGAAGATCCAGCCTTCGCCCGTCAGGTCCCAGGGTCTGTAGTAGCGCCTGGAAGGTGAGTCCCGTCCTTGTCCACCTCACGAAGGAGACGAGGGAGGTCGAGCAGCGAGTTGAGCGACGTACGCGGGGCACACGGGCAAGGCAGCATCTGTCGCGGTCGCAGACATCCTCCTACAGCAATTCGCAATGGTTCAAGCGCCTCGTACAGCTGTCGCAGAGGCGTCGCGAGCGGTGAGCGAAGGAAAGAGATGAGGAAGCGAAAGGAGTGGTCGAGGGGTAGCGGGTCCGTGCGGCGAGGCGGGAGAGTCGAGAGGCGCTTATAGTGCGTTGTACCGTGCTATCTAGCTCGTCATTGAAGCAGTCCGAGAAGAGCAGTGAGGTGCAGAACGGCGAGCGAGCGAGTCGAAGGTTCGTCTCCACCAGACCACCTCATGGCGCGCGGATTGCAGAAGATTGAGGCTCAGTGCGTTCATTGTGCTGTTTGGAAGATAGCCGAACGGGTCCAGCTGACTCACAGTCGTTCCACGCCGCGCCCTCTCGCTCTTCTTCTCCTCCTCGATCGAATCCCCTTCTCTCGACCGTAGGCAGAAGGCGCAGGCGAAGAAGAACGCAGGTGGCAAGTCGAACTTGAAGGCGAGGGCGGCGGCGTTCAAGGTGCGATGGACGCTTGTTGGGAGACGTCCTGCCGGTTGCTCACCTTCGGTACCTCCTTGACGCCTCGCAGATCGTCTGCCCTTCTTGCAAGCTCCCTCTGTCTGACTACAAGAACTTCAAGGTGCGCTCGTCGTCCCTGCGCCCCTCGTCGAAGGCGAGCTGACCTTCCCTTTGTCGTCCTTTCGCAGGAGCACTTCGAGTTCGTGCTCTCCTCGCCTGCCTCGCTGCATTGTGAACGCACGGCTGACCTTTTCGTCGACGAACAGGTCCAAGCACCCGAAACTTCCCCTCCCCACCGAAGAGTCGCTCGCGCCGCCTGCATGAAGCGCTCGCTCGACTCGCAAAGGAGGAAACGGTAGACATGCGGGATAGACTGTGCGGCGGTGTTGTGAGCTAGTGTACGATTATGCATTTCTCGATTCGATAAGCTGTTGGTGTGTAGGCTACAGAGGAGAGGACGGACGATAAAACCGGATACAGGTTGGGAGGAGACCGGAAACGGCGGAGATGCGCTTCTAAGCGTCGCCGGTGAAGGAGACGACGACCTTGCCCTTGGCGCTGCGGGGAACAAAGCGAATTAGCTGCGGCGTGGCAAGCGAAGTCAACGAGAGCAAACACACCGGTTCGACATCTGCCTGTCGTACGCAGCCAGAGCTTTTTCGAAGGGGAAGACCTCGTCGACAATAGCTTTGAGCTTGCCTGACACAGGGAAAGAGTCAGTCAGCTCGGTTGATCCAGCAGCTTCGCCATAAAAGCGAGGAGAAGGAGGAACGGGAGCGCACCCTCACGAATGAACTGCGCCATCTCGTCCAACTCGCCCTCGGCAGGCTTCATCATGCCAAACTTGTACTTGCGCGGCACGCCGCCGAGGAAAGCGGGGCGGAGGTTGCGGTTGATCAGGTCGATGCCGGCGCCGAGGATCGAGGTGAATGTGCTCTCGAAGTGCGGGCCGGCGATGTCGACAAAGTGGCCGTCCTTCTGCTCGTCGTGCGACTGTCAGCAACATGAGCGAGGCGGGCCGAAGCGAGCGAACGCACCTTGAGGAACTTTGGCGACTTGTAGTACAGGTCCGAATTGTGCCCGACCGTGTCGAAGACAATGTCGAACGGCTTGTCGCCATACTTGGTTGCAAGCTGCTCGACGAGGTCCGACTCCTTGTAGTCGAGGATGTCGTCGGGCGAGAGGCTCTCGACGAGCTTACGAGAGGGAGGGGAGCAAGTCGTGACGACGTAGGCGCCGTAGGCTTTGGCGAGCTATACGGCAGGGGCACGTCAATCATAGGCGGGTGATCAGGGCATAGAAGTCGGTCGCACCTGAACGGCGTAAACGCCGACGCCGCCGGATCCGCCGTTCTGAGGGGAGCAGACTTTCGTCAACATCGCCTATCTCTCAACGCAGGACGGCCCACGCACGATGAAGACACGCTGGCCTGAACTCTTCGCAAGACCCGCGACGCGCTTCAAGGCCCAGTAGGAGGTGAACGTCGTTAGAGGGAAGGTCGCGGCCTCGGTAAACTTGACGTTGTCGGGCTTCTTCGTCAAGAGGTTCTTCTCGACGAGCGTGTACTCGGCAAGAACACCCTGTCCGCTCTTCATCGTCGAGTCGGCCGGAACGAACCCGATAACCTCGTCGCCGACCTTCAAGTCGGTTCCGCTTAGGTCGCCTCCCTCGATGATACCGGCAAGGTCGTGCTCAGGTACAGCAGGCTTCTTCTGCATCCACCGCAGGCCAGGGAGGACCATCGCCTTGTATCCGACCGGGTTCAAGGCGGCGGCTTTGACACGAACGAGGATGCGAGTGCCGGACGGGGTGGGCTTCGGCCAGTCTTGCTCGAGCTTGAGGACCTTGGACGGGTGTCCTGACGAGCGGAAGACCCATGCACGCATCGTTTCGGCCATCTTTTGTTGGTGGTGATGAGGATTCGAGAGTTGGGAGAGGGCCTTAGGAGGAGGCGCTGGGACTTCAGGCGGATACAAGTACCTCCGTAATACTACTTTAAAGACTCAGCAAGCTCGGAAGAGTCGCAGCGAAGAGTCGAGCGAGTTGTTCAAGTCGGACCAGCCCATCGTCATCGTTGGACAACTTCCCTCGCGCTCATCACCGCTAGACTCGCTCAGAGACCCGCTGAAGCCCGCGATGGAGCAGCTGCTGAACGACCACGAGCTCTCTGCCGAGATCCAGAGCCTGCGCGCGACCGTCGACCTCCTCGCGTCGCAGAAGCTGCGGTACCCGAACAACTACGTTCCGCCTGTCGAGGAGCGACACAAGCGTGCCACGCTGGTCAATGTGCGTAGCCAAGCCCGATCCATCCGAAGAAGCGCGCTGACGGCGGCCGTTTGGCAGGTCCCCGTTTGTGAACCGCCCACCACGACACACGGAAGCGACGACGATGACGCGCCCGTTATCGAGACGCTTAACCTGACTATCAAGTCGCTGAAACCGCCCCTCACGTTCACTCTTGCGGCACGACCAACGGCGACAATTGGCGACTTGAAGGCGGAACTGTCGGCGAAAGAGGCGGATGCTCCGGTTCCTCAGGCCCAACGGTGGATCCTGAAGGGCAAGGCGATGGGCGACACGAAGCTGCTGAAGGAGTTCGCGGTCCAGGATGGGACGGTTGTCAACCTGATGGTTACCAAGACCACAACACCGCCCGCCGCATCAACCTCTTCCGACCCATCCGATGTTCCCGCCCTTACTCTCTCCGAACCTTCTTCTTCCTCTTCCAACCCCCCACAAGTCTCCCTCTCTCGCGACCTTGACCATCTGCCTCTCACGACCTCTACCTCATCCGACAACCCCCAACTCGCCGGCGACTCCGACGCATTCCTCTCGACCGTCTCCTCCCCCTCTCTCTGGAAAGACGTGCGGAACGTGTGCGAGGCGAGGTTCGACAAGAAGGACGAGGCGCAGAGAGTGTGGGAGGGGATGTTTGCGGGCGCGAGGGATTGGATCAGCCCGAACGACAAGGCACTCATCCGCGAGCAGGTCGGGTACTCGGCGATGGGCGGTGTCTAGGCGACAGCGACTTTGTAGCGACGCTTTCGCATGCAGTTGCTTGACTTTTACCCCGAGAGAGAGACTTTGCGCGACAATTCTCGTCACTCCGCTCGTCCTCCCTAGCAGTAGAGCACTCTGCTAGCTGTATAGAGTGTGCTACACGGCGGAACTGCGTCCTTGCGATTTGTTATACCCCGACTTTTCACCTCGTGCGGAGTTGCTCTCCTTCCCGCTCACTCTCGCACCTCGCAGCTCATCGCCTGGCTCAGCAACCCTACACAGCCCTCAGGACACTTTCCTACACTGCTACAATGGCCCAGCAACCCGAAGAGACGCCCTGGCACGCCGCATTCCCGACCCCGTCCAGGTCGCTCTCCGACTCGTCTCTCGCAACCATCTCGGCGCAGAAGTTGCGGAGCAAGGTTGAGCAGCAACCGGAGCTGTCGAAGCGTGACTTCTTGGTGGTCGACGTGCGGAGAACGGACTTTGAGGTGCGTTGCGACGTTCCCTCACGCTAGTCGTCATTCGTGCGCCGTATGAGCCGCTCGAAGCGCATTGTTGACTGAGAGTAACGAGCACACAGGACGCCTTCATCAAGGGCGCTATCAACCTGCCTGCTCATTCGTTCTACCCGACTTTGCCGTCGCTTCTTCCCATTCTCTCCCGGTGCGTTCCTCTCTTAAGGGTCGCTCAAGGCTCTCGAAGGCAATTCGAGAACTGCAGGCTCGACGAAGAGGAAAGCAGTGAAAATGACCTGACTCTGCTCGCACAGCTACCGCTCCGTGATCTTCCATTGCCAATCCTCCTCCGGCCGTGGACCTCGCTGCGCAGGCTGGTACCAGGACGCGCTCGACGAGGCGAACATCCCGAACGAGCAGAGTCAGGCGGTCGTGTTGACGGGCGGCATAAAGGCGTGGGTCAAGGCGTATGGGGAGGACGAGAGCGTGACGGTCAAGCTGGGCGAGAATGGGAGGAAGGTGTAGAGCACGTGTGCTCGAATGATCAGGCTATATGTGACACGACTCGCGCCCGGACGCTCGCCGTTCAACCGGCACTTCTGCCTTCGTTGCGACCTCTCGAGCTGTTGACGACTGCAAGTCGCGAGCAACGGCGTCTGTCGGTTCTATCGTTGCTCTTCCAGCTGCGTCTACAACTCCCACATTTCCGTCCCAGTCTTGACCGTCCTCGCAACCGCCTCGCGCACCTTCTCCTCCCCCTCCCCCTCCTTTCCTCCCGCCTGCGCATTCACAGCCTGCGCCATCGCGCTCCCCACCTCCCACGCAGCCTTGACACACCCGTTCACACCCACAGCCGCGAACCCTCCACCCACAACCGCAACGTTACCTGCTTCCCTAAGCCTGTCTCCGAACGCCCGGAAAGAGGGCATGAACCCTGGCGGGACTTGGGGGATGCAGTTGACGTGTGTGTGGGTGAAGGCGTGTACGGGCTTAGGGATGGGACGGTCGGGAAAGTGTAGGCGGAGCGTCTCGAGTGCTGCATTGACAAGGTCGTCGTGCGAAGGTTGTGGTGGAGGATGGCGGTCGAGCCAGTACGAGCCGCCGAGGAGGAGCGAGAGCTTCGTGAGGCCAAGTGAGGAAGAGGAGTCGACGTCGGGCATGACATCGCTGTCAAAGATGACGCCGAGCGCGCGGTGAGGGTTCAAGGAGGACGGGACAGTTCGAGGGATGAGGTAGCCGAAGCCGGCTGGGTGAAGTGGAGGTGAGCCTGGTGCGGGCTTCTCGAAGGCGAGGTTGACGACACTGACGGTCGTGGCGGGAAGAGCGGGAGGCGCGAGGGATGAAGGGAGTAGTTGCGGGATGGTCGTGACGAGTTGCGAGGCGTCGAGAGCACCGCTAGATGTGCGAATCTGTGGAGGAGCTGTCAGGACTCCTCTTACGTGGAAGCACTCGCTCGGGCTCACCTGCCACCCGCCGTCCACCTTCTCGACGTGCTCGACCTTGCCCTTCTCGCCCATCCAGAATTCGACGCCCTCGGCCTCAAGCTTCTCCCTCAGCGTCTCCGTCACAACCTGCAAGCCGCCCTTGACACCCCACACGCTCGCCTTCTCCATGTCCTCGACCAAGGCCTCTCCTCCCTTCGCCCTGATCCGCTCCTTCACGCGCTCCATCTCCTCCGTCTCCGCCTGCTGCCGCATTCGCCATGGACTATTCTTCTTCCACCCTCTTCGCCGCGCAAAGCTGCCGAACAGCGCGCCAATGACCACGCTACCCCATTCCTTCTCAAGTTCCCACAGAGCGGGCAAGACTGCCCGAACGCTGAGCCTCCTCGTATCGCCTGCGTAGATCCCATGAATACCCGCACTTGCAAGCTCGTCTGCTAATCGTCGCCCGAACCGCCGAGCGATGAACGAGTCGACTGATTCGTCGGCGAGACCGGATGGGTCGTCGTGCAGGGGAGAACGGGGTCGGAAAGGTTCGAGGAGGGCGGAGGGGATCGTAGGTAGGGCTGCTTTGAGGATGGGAGAGATTGAGGTCGAGCTGCGGTGGCCGGTGTAGATGAAGCGGTTGCGAGCTGAAGGGGCGGATTTCGGGACGGTGACTATCGAGGGCGTGAGGCCGAGCTCGTGGGCCTGTCGCAGGCTTCGTCAGGTTCCAGCGTTCACAATATTGACATGAGCTAGGCGCACCATTTCGATCGTCAGCCAACCCAGCAGTCCAACCGGCCTAACGCTCCTCGGGCCCGTCTCGAAGACCAAGAGGTCCTCCGTCCCTTCCGGCTTCTCATTCTCGCCTAACCGTCGACCATTCTGGATCCTCACTGCTCGACACCAGCCTCCGACTCGTTCCTCCTTTTCAAGGACGACTATCCGCGTCTGGTCCCGCAAAGAGGGCGAGAGCGTGCGGAGGAAGTAGTGCGCTGTCGACAAGCCTGACAGGCCTCCGCCAAGTATTGCTAGTGTATGATACGGATGGTCGTGTCGCTGCGAGGAAGAAGGGCTGGTGACGAAGAAGCGAGGGGATGGGAGGGATCGGATGAGATTGAGGCGAGGTGTTCGTCGTCGTATAGGCTTGATGGGCACTGATTGCCGCGCCAACGCGTTACCGCTGTAGCTTTGCATCGCTAAGGTTAGCGAGCACCTTGCTCGACGAAGTTGCTGGCGAGCACCGGGTTGTCGTCGCTGCCAGAAGTGATGAGGATGGGGAGGAAGGCAGGGGAATGCGGGCGGGCTGTGGGTCGGCTAGGAGCTTGAGAGACGCTATAAAAATGCTCTGGCGTAACCAGCTAGCCAGTATGGCCGATCAGGAGCGGAGGCTGGAGTCTGAGGAGCGTCCCACATTCATCCGAGCGAGTTGGCGTCCGCCACACCCGCTGTTCTTGCTGGAGTCTTGCTTGACGGGGTTGGGAGCGTCCAATAGACTGTACTTGTGCTACCGACAGGTCTCGCCAGTCCGCCCGTCAGCCACACCTCCCCCCTCCTCCTCATCGCTCGACGCGTCGCATTCTCCGGATCAGAGCGGTGGTTGAGGCCAGTGTTGCTACAGTGAGTTCTCGATGTGCTGTCGTAAGTCCCAACATGTCAACATCCGTTCACCTGACGATTGGCGTTTCGCAGCTTCCCTTCTTCTCCTCCTCGCCTGGAGGACCTTGCACGACCCACGCACCCCGTCACGAACTGGATGCTCCTCAAATCGTCGACTTGAACTGCACGTCCACCGCCATCACGAATTCGCCTAGACCTTCAAAGCTGCTCCTCGTTCCGGAATCCTCCTCCCGCCAAACGACTGCAGAGCAAGATGGGCGTCAAGGACCTCGGCAGTCTCGCGAAGAAGCTCGCTCCGTCCAGCATCACTATTGTACCTAACTGGACGACCTTCGCCGGCAGGAAAATCGCCATCGACGCAAGCGTGCTCACGAACCGGTTCCATTTCGGCCGGCTTCGCACAGACGAGATTGGCGAGGACGTGATCAACGGCGATCACCACGCTCGATTATGGTACCGCTTCATCCAGACTCTACGGATGTACGGCGTCTCGCCCATCGTCGTCTTCGACGGCTCGACGAGGCTCGAGGCGAAGGCGAGGGAGGTACAGCGTCGTCGGAAAGTCTACAGCCTCATCAAGGCGCGAGCAAAGGCTGAGGTGGATCGGAGCGACAGGCTGAAGGAGATGAAGGAAGTTTGGGACAAGGTGGGAGCGGATGAGCGGCCAGTCGTGTTGGAGCAGCTGAAGGAGGCGATGGAGCGGATTGAGAGGGAGCGGCGAATGAGGATCGAGGAGGAAGCACGCGCTGCGGCTGCTGCAGCCGCACCACCCGACTTGGAGACGCGGATAGCGGCAGACAAGCTCGCGTCTGAGCTCCGACGACTCGAGCTCGTATTTGAAGGGCGCATCGCTCCGGAAGCGGGAACAACTCCCGGTCAGTCGACAGATCCTGTGCCTCCGCCGCCAACAGCACCTGCTCCTCCCGCACAAGCGACGCCTATACTGGCAGAAGACGCTCCTCCTCCCAAAACCGAAATTCCACCGTCGCCCGCTGCGGTCACCTCTCCACCACCGACTCCTGCTCCACCTCTACCCATACCTCCGCCTCCTCCTGTGCCGCCTATCGCTGAACAACCACCTGTCGTCTCCCTCTTCGACCATCTCGAGGAAGGACCCGTCAAAGCGCTCGCCCAGCTTCACGAGGCGCAAGTCGCCGATGCAGGCGCCGCCGTCTACTCTCGGCGACAGAAGTCGGTCGCGCTCGATCAGAATGCGCTTTTCGGCATTCTGTCGGAGACGGATGGGAGGAAGCCTGTGGTTGTCGAGAAGCCTGCCGCGGTCGATGAGGACATCTCGACAGAGGAGCCTTTCGAGGCGAGCTGGCCTGATCTCGACTCAGCCGGGGGCATCGAGAGCGGGCTCGGTAGACTCGTGCACCGGAGCACGAGCATCGCAGTCGACTACAAGCACAACAGCTTTCCTGTCCCCGCTGCCGCTCTCCACAAGTCGCGCGTGCGTCCCCGTTTTCTTCTCGCTACCCTGGTCACATGAAGCTGACCTGCCCCTGTCCGCAGGAAATCATCCAGGCCATGGGCGTTCCTTGGCTCCAGCCGGGTCCGAACAACCCGTTCGAAGCGGAAGGCGTCTGCTCGGCTCTGTACCAGGCCGGCATCGTCGACTGCGTCGCCAGCGAGGACACCGACGTTGTGGTCTTTGGCGCTCCGCTCCTGCGATACGCCACGACGACCGAGAACCCGAAGAACCCGATGTACGTGCTCGACCCGGTTGAACTGCGGAAGCAGCTCGACTTGACGAAGGAGCAGCTTGTCGACTTGGCGATCCTCCTCGGCACCGACTTCACCGTGCGAATACCGCGGTGAGTTCGCGGGACCCTCTGCTCGAAAGCGTTCCAAGCTAACTCGTCCCTCCCCCAGCCTCGGCCCCGTCACGGCAGTCACCCTGATGCGGCGGTACGGCAGCATCGAAGCCATCGTCGACGTGCTCGCGAAGAAGGAGCACAAGGGTCGCGAGTTCAAGCCGGTCGAAGGCGACTTCGAAGCCTACCTCGAGACGGTCCGCATCGCACGCGAGATCTACCTCAGTCTCCCTTCAATGCCGCCAACCGAGCCGCTTGCGACGCCTCGAACTCGCGTATCGCTGTCCGACAAAGGATCCAGCCTCATGGGCGACGCCTCGAGCGAGGTGCCAGCCTGGTACGGCAACCTCGACCCCACACCCGCAGCCGACCTCGACGACATCCTCGTGCGCTTCGGCATCACGCCTGGCGAGACGTTCGAGTCGATGGATGCCCTCGAGCGGTACGCCGTCTCTCAGATGGACCAGCCAGCCTACGCAGACGACGATTTCGGCGAAGCCGAGATGCAGAGCTACGACGGCTTCCCTGATGAAGTGGCGTTCGAGATGGACGCTGAACAGACGGCGGAGGCGCTCGACGAGCCGACGGTGCCGAGCGAGGCGTATGTCGGGGAGGAAGCGGTCGTGGCGGAGCTTGAGCAGTCGGCGGAGGTACCCGACGAGCCTTCGGTTCCGCGGGAGATGGACCCAGCGTTGGACGCCGAGCTAGGAGCGCTGTACGCTGAGATCGGTCAGGTCGCTGTCGAGCAGCCTGCCGACTACGAGGCAATTGCTCGTCGTGGGCGGGGCAGGAGGCGGGGAGGGACTTTGCGCGCGTAGACGAGCAATTCCTTCGCATGTAGACTGTTCGCTTGTACCGTCTCCCGTTTCCAAGCTCTCTGCACTTGTCGTTTCCTCGCAACTCGCAACTTGTCGTTCAGCCCTCGAAGATTGTTCGAAGCGAGTGTCTACCATTGCGACCCGAACAGAAGGAAGGTACAGATCCGAGAACCCCGGACGAAGCACTGCACGAAGGAATGCGAGAAGAAAGGACGAAGCGGAGGGTGCGGGAAAGAGGCCGAAGGCTAGCTACGAAAGTCGCAGTAGGTAGGCGGGTATGCATCCGTCCGTCAAGACAGACGTCGAAGCGAATTGCTGATAATGTTGAGTGGCGAACGAGCGTGAGAGGGAAGCGTGAAGTTTGCGAGGTGTCGTTAGAGTTTGGTGATTCATCGAATCTTGTTCAAGCGGACGCCTCCTCCTCCTTTCCGTTGTTGGCGTCGCTGTTGCCGTGGTTGCTGTCGATCGGCGAGGCGGGCGCGTCGTCCTTGACCGAGTCGATCGGCGAGCTGGCTTCGGCGCCGTCGCCCGGAAGAGCCATGCCCGTCTTGCCGCGGACGGTCTCGAAGACCCTGCGAACGCCGACGTCAGCCTTGGAGAACGACAAGGAAGCGACAAGACCCAACGCACTTCAGGAGCTTCCTCCTCGCGCCGAGAGCCGACACGCCCTTGTCCTCGAGGTCCTTGTCGCCAAGGAGGACCATCTCCTTCCACCCGACGCCCTCAAAGTTGGGCGTGTACTTGTGCAGCCTGAGACTCCTGAGCCACGCGGGCGTGTCGCCGAGCAAGTTCATGTCGAGCGGCTCGTCCGGGTTCGCGCCGCTCCCAGGCGTCTGCTGGGGGTTCCCGCCGGAAGCCGAGTTCTTCGCGCCGTTGCCGCCAGGGCGAGACGCGTGGCTGCCGAAGGACGAGCCAAAGTTGGGCGAGCGGTCGTTGCCGTGCGGGCGAGGCGAGCGGCGAGGCGAGTGCATCATGCCGTTCGGAGCGCCGCCAAAGCCGAAGCCGCCGAATCCGCTTGGGCTCGTACCAGGTCCGCCGACTCCTCCACCACCGAGACGCGGGCTGAGTTGCGAGCCGAAGCCCCCGATGGCGCCGACGCCGAGTCCGGGGTTTCCGAGACCCATGCCGAGTCCGTTCAAGCCCTGCAGGTTGGCGAGGTTTTGAAGCTGCGCCTGCTGCTGCATCATCTGCTGCTGGAGGGCGATGAGCGACGCGAGCTGAGCCTGAGCCTGCGCTTGGACCGACGCGGCCGTGTTGGGCGACGGAGGAGCGCCGTTACCAACGCCAAGTCCGAGGTTGGGCGAGAGTCCGCCGGTACCGACGCCGAGACCATTAAGACCGGCCGAGACGCCGTAAGCGTCGTGCTGAGCGTGGAGGTGGTTGGCGTTGTTGCCGTAGTGCGCGTTGTTGTTCGGCGACGGAGGCGGGAGGTGAGCGGCGTTGGCGTTGCGCCAGTTCTGCTGCGCCGCCATAGCGGTCTGCTGCAAGCCAGGCGAGCTAAGCGCGCCGGTGCTGGTCAACCTCGACCCGCCAACTCCGCTCGACGGACCAGTCGACGCCGATCCAGCAGCAACGTTGGGCGAAGCCGGGTTCGACAAAGCGCCGAGTCCGAGGTTGACGGCCGACTGCTGCATGTTCTTGAGGTGCTGGACGGCCTGGAGCTGGTCCTGGATACGCTTCTGCGCCGTCGCAGCCGAGTTGGCGCGGTCCGCCGCCGTGCTCGATCCGAGCGACGCAGTCCCTGCTCCTCCGCCATTCGCACCGCTGGGCTCCTCGTACATCCCCGCCAGCGCTCCGCCACTCAACCCCGACATGCGCGCCGAGCGACGATACTTCTTGACATCGTCAAGCACGATCCCGCCATTCGGGTTCGGGCTCGCGCCGTTCCAAGACGCGCCAAGACTGGGCGTGCCAAAGTTCCCGGGCTCCATCGTCTCGCCCTTGCCGAACATCGGGACCAAGGGAGTGTTGACCATCGAGGCCCAGCTTCCCCCGATCGCGGGCGAGAGCTGGTCGAACGAGGCGTCGAGCGCGGGGGAGCGGAGGAACTGGGCGGTCGCGGGGATAGTCGACGACGAAAGCGAGGCGGACGACGAGGGCTGCTGCTGCTGCTGGGCGGCCGAGTCGGAACCGGTACTGTGAGGGCGAGGACTCGGGCTGCGCTCGCGCAAGACCTCCTCCTTACTCCACAGCGGGCTCTTGGGGCCTTCGCCGAGGGTGTTGCCAGCACTGAGGAGCAGGTTGGCAGGAGCGCTCGTGCGCGCGCTCGCCTTGAGCTTCGCACGCTGGCTCGCCAGCGTCGATGCGGCGGCCGAAGAGTCGGGCGAGAGAAGCGAGTCGGGTGCAGGGGAAGTGGGCATGGGACCGCCGTTGCTAGCCGAGAGCGACTGGCGAGCGAATTGGCGCATTGCGGGAGAGGCGGGCGACTTGGAAAGACCGAGCGAGGCGAGCTTCGACTCGATCTGCGACTCGAACGTGACTGCGAGGCGGAGCGTGAGTCGAGCGAGGCGAACGAAGTTAAAGAGAGGCAACGCACGCTGGCTCGGGTTGGCCGGGCTGAGAAGCGCCGCCTGAACCGGGTCCTGCCTCGCCATTTGCTGAAGGACGGTGATGAAGAAGCGAGTCTGGAGGGGCGTCGCGTTCTGGAGGAGCGAGTAGAGGGCGGCGGTGCGTTCGGCTTCGCTGAGGACGCGGAACCACTGCTCGATCGCGGACAGCTCTTCCTTGAAGTTGGCGTCGAGCGAAGCGGCGGCCATCTCTTCCAGCGTCGCCTCGTACTGCTGGAGGTCTTCGAACCAGCGGTCGATAGCTGCGAAACGCAACAGAGAGGTCAGTCGCCTTCGCAGGTCGAGAATCGCTTCGCGTTCTGGCACTCACCCTCGGCTGCGGGTTTGAACAAGTCCGGTTGGTCAGCGCGACTGTTCTGCGCTGGACAGCAAAGCGACCGAGAGGATCTGGCGCGGAGAGCGAGCGCAAACTCACTGTCTGACGACTGGAAGCTGTTGAGCGCCTGACCCGCTTGGCTGACGCCGAGAAGCTCGCTCGCCGGCCTCAACCTTCCTCCTGCCGCTGCGCCAAGCCCGACGCCGCCCGTGCTGGCCCTCCCGGGGCTGACGGCGCGCCAGTTCGCGGAAGCGGACCCTCCTCCATGACCCTGTCCAACCTGACCCGCTCCGCCCGCACCGGGCACGCCGATGCTCGCGCGGTACTTGGGCATGCTGCTCGACCCCGACTCTGCCGCGACCGAGCTGTTCCTGCCGGGACCGGATGCTGCGAGGTTCGACGAGAGGGTGAACGGGCGCGGTGCTGCTCCTCCCGCCGAGTGGGGCGGTTGCTGGTCGGCTGGCGAGCCTGAGCGCTGTGTCGCACTCGCACTGGCCATGTCTGCGTTGCTGGCAAGAGGGAGAGAAGGAGAGTGATGAAGCGGTGTGTGCGAGGTTGGTGAGGTCGAGATGTTTCGCCGCGGGACGAGTGGCGACTTGCGTGCGCTGCAGCAGAGTCAAAGGTGCGTCTAGAGTGGGCCGTGTGCCGCTCGTCCACGTCCAGCGAGAGAGGCCAGCTCGTTGCGAGAGCGAGCGAGGCGCGAGGACGCGTGCGAATCCAATTGCCGCCAAGTTGTATTCATTCCAATACAAACGCGTTGTATTCCTTCTCGCTCGCGACGCAGGCGCTTGTCTGCGAGGTGCTGTCGCTTCCGCAGGGCCACCTCAACAGCTTGACGAGGGTCCGAAAGCGAGCGCAGCCAGGCGGGCGTCGAGCGGCTCGACAACAGTCCTTTTCTCGCCGCAAAGCGACTCCCAGCCTCAAACATCCGATCGGACTCTTCTTGCACCGGGTCCTATGTTCCATGAGCAGCTGAAGGTCGTGCGGAACACTACGGAGCCCGCAAGGAAGTCAGCGCACGACTTCCGGCCGTGAGAAGGTCGCGCCCTTGTTCCCCACTCACCTTCTCCCAGTCGCCGTCCCCATTGTTCCTCGCGTACGCCTGAGACGATACGAATGAAGAGAGAGGGCAGAGGCCGGTCAAGGGGTCGTGACCGGGGCAGAAGGTCGGGATCTGGAGTTGGTCGTCCTGAAGCGGCGAGGGTCAGCTTGCGCGACAACAGCGGGCGTAGCGAGAGAGACGCACGATAAACAAGCGAACGAATGTGCCGGAGGCGCACTTCAGTCGCTCCGTGACGAGCCTTCCCGCAAACGGCACAACCCGCGACGTAAACCATCTCCTCTTGTTCTTCGGCGGCTCACTCTCCCCCAGCCTCGTTCCATTCTGCAGCCCCATCGCAGCAAGTATCGACACAATCTGGTTATTGTGCGAAAAGTCGGCGTAGACGCCGACGCCTGAGAGAGGGAACGTCGACGAGTTGCGGTTCAGGGTTTGGTTCGTTTGCGTGCGGTCGGAGAGGGAGTAGCGGAGGTTGCCGGTAAGTCGGGAGAGGAGCTCGTTGACGTATCCAACGCTGCGAGGGCGTACGGTCGGCGTTCTGCGAAAAAAGGGCTCGAGACGAGAGGCGGCCTCACCCTTGGACCGCTCCAAGCGGGTTCCCGTAGCCGTTCCCGTAGTACTTGTCGAGGTCGTAGTAGTACTGCGAGGCTCGAGGCGATCAGACCAGCGTCAATAACGAAGAGCGAAGAGCATTCACCTCGAACGCCTCGAACTCCTCCTTCATGAACAACCCGCAGAACGGTGACATCTTCCCCGAATACACCGTCTCGAACCCGCACAGCTGCATCAGATTAAGCACATCGTTCGTCTCAAGGTTTGCCCCCGGCGCTTGGGCGTTCAGTCGAGCGACTGCGTTTGCGGCGAAAGTTGCGAGCCAGGTGGTTTGGTGGGAGGAGAGGTCGGGAGCGAGCGGGCAGGCCTTGTCATCGAGGGTGTTGTGGCTCTGTAGACGGGACAGCGTCAACTAGGAATCAGGGAAGCACGCGAAGTTGGGGCTGTTTACGCCAGCAGCGTTGCTGATTACGAGCGGTGTCGGTGCACCTTGTCCGCCGAACTGAGAATAAAAGCCAGATAACCAGTTTGTCGCAGCTGCGGCAAAGTGGTCAGCCAAAGAGTTGCCCGGAGACTGCAACGACTCACAGGCGATTACTCGCGGCGAACTATCGCTTCGCACGAAGACGGGAATGGTTGCCTCGCTCGCCAGGGTGCTGTAGCGTTCGTACGCCTCTCTACCCGCGCCGTACGACTCTTGTGCGCCGAGGGCGATGAGGTCGTCCGCTCCGAGCCGATATCTGCGCGATGACCTCGTTAGTTTAGCTTCCCTCGGCGGGAGAACGCGCCGAGAAGAACCTGTACGAGCGCAGAAAGGTCAAGCTTGAGGAGAGTGACGTCGCATCTTGCAGCTTGGCGACGGAAGCAGCAATTCTTTTCCCTGCATTGGTGGTTGGGAAGCGCGCGCCGTGTCGCTGCAGAACGTTGACCTGCATCGGATTGCAGCTCGTCAGCTTGGCACTGCTGGCCGCGAAGCAGGCGTGGACGCACCTGATCAATCACGCAGCCAGGAGGTACAAGCTGGTATCTCCCCGAGCGATAATAGGGCGAGTAGGGACCAAGGTTGCGAGCGATGTAGGCGGGTAGACGTAGCCCCGAAGCTCTCTGGTCGATTGCGGGCACGCCAGCCGGGCCTGCGAGGCCCCTCAGGGAGAATGCGACCGAGGTGAGGGAAAGAGCGATGAGAATGAGGAGCGAGAACGAGGCGTGGAGGGCGTCCGTGAAGGCAAGGTCGTAGTCAAGTAGCGTAGAGATGTCCATCGCGTCGCTCAACAAGACGCCAACCCTAGGCAGCCATCGACGCAAGCAGAACGTGCGAGGAGAGAAGGAGAGCGCGATCGACTGCGCGGGCGACGCGCTGCGCGCTGTGGAGTCGTTGAACGGCGATGAGCTGAACGCGAAGCAGGTCACACGCTCTCGCAAGCGAAGGAGAGGTTCGGGGAGGAGGAGGAGAGGGAGGAGCTGCGAAGCTGGAGGTTGTGCGAGTCAAGCGTGATTCAATGGGAATGCGAGCGCAGCGTTACACCCGAGGAGACAACACGGAACCGATACTGAGTCTATGAAATGAGGAAGAACCGAGGAAGCACAGAACAAACGACGAACGAGACCCTCTCAAACCGCGACAATCGCACTCTGTGCCGCAATGCCCGCCTCCTTCTCTTTGTCCTCCTCGCTGACGTACGATCCCGCATACTGTTTCGCCGAGTACGAGGTTGGAAGAGGAGCGGGAGGGACGATGGTCGAGAGGAGGTAGTAGATCCCGCCGCCAACGAAGACGCCGATCGGGTAGACGCAGACCTGCGGTGCGTGAGAGCGTCGATCAGCGACGGTGGAAGCGCTGGAAGAGAGAGAGAACTCACGTAGACGTAAGTCGCTTGCACGGGGATGTCAAGCTTGCTGTTGACGTTTCTGATGAATCCTGGCAGGCACGGCACGATACCGAGGACGAAAGCGACAACGCCGCGGAAGTTCCAGCCGTGCGAGTACCAGTAGACGGAGGACTGGGTCGTGAAGAGGTCGGGGAGCGAGATGCGACGCTTGCGGACGAGGAGGAATTCGGACATGAGGACGCCGCCGAGGGGTGCGAGGAAGACCTGTGAGTGGCGTCGGGTCAGTCTTCGCTCTGGATCGTCGTTGGAGAGCGGAAGTCGCAAGAGACGCACCGTATATCCGCCGAGGAAGGCAGTGAAAGTCTTTGCCGTCGACTGAATGATCCAAGGGCAAGTAACGAGTCCGAGAACAGCAGTGATATACTGTCCGCGCCGGATATTGATCCAGCGAGGGAAGAGAACCATGAGGTCGTTTCCGACCGCGGTCGAGTTGGCCGAGATGTTGGTCGCGAGGACCGAGATGGCCCAGGGAAGGGCGGAGAAGAATTGCGCGGCGCGCGACCCCATGAGCGATGAGACTTGCCTGCGAATGAGACGTGCGAAGGTCAGCTCCGTCGAGCGGGACGAAAGAAGGGAATAGGACGTACAGCGGCGACCAGGTCGAGACGCCGTAGATGACCTGAGTAGCCGACGTGACGACGACGCCGAGGATGGCGCAGAGCGTGACGAGGACGGTGAGCGAGAGGATGTTTGTCCAGACGACGACCTTGCGATTCTTAGCGTAGCCTGCGGGGTGCGCGATATGTCAGTCAGCACACCAGTAGGGAGCTTGTCGGGAGCGTAACGCACGAGTAAAGTCGCAGATGTTGAGCGCGAGCGTCGCCTTTGGGGCGATTGCGCTCGTAAAGGCCGAGAGGAAGACGACTGCCGTCGGGCGTCCATCGAGGATGTGCGTCGGCTTGGAGAAGACGGGTCCGAAGCCGTGTGCGCGTCCGACAGCCCAGCCGAAGAGGGCGAAGCCGAAGAAGGGCATAATGACGATCTGAAGGCGAGGTCGTTAGCGAAAGTCAGCCAGACGAGGAGGACAGCGGCGGACACGCCTTGACAGCGAAGAGGTACTTGAGCTTCGAAATGTGGATCCACAGCAGCGGGAGCTGGATCAGGTAGAAGATGAAGAAGCAGAGGAGCATCGACGAGGTGACATGCGCCGACTCGGGGAGGTGGTTCGGGAAGTGCTGCAGGCGAGACAGTGAGCTCGAGGTCTACTGTACAGCATTGAGGAGCCACTGTACCTTGACGGAAGGCCAGATAGCCTGCAGCATGACCTGGACACATTGGCCTCCTTGCTGAAGGGGGAGGACAGAGTCAGCGACAAGCTCGGGCTGGAGGGAAGCGCTTTCTGACTCGCATATGATTGTGTCCCAAACCAGACAATCGCTATCGAGAGGAGAGAGTCAGCGCGGACCGCCGGCGAAGAGAGGGAAGCGAAGAGGCTCACCTGCGATGGCTCGGCAGATGACGGCGAGGTACGTTCCGCGGATGCCGAAAGCCGTACGTGCCCACGATGGGAAGTTAATGCCGTACGCGCAGCCGACTGTGGAGATCAGGGGAAGAGGATGAGCGAGAGGGCAGAGGAGGAGGAGGAAGGGAAGAAGAGCGCACCGTAGCCCGTCACAGCGCAGGCGCAAGAGACGATGAAGTGGCCGAGCAGTACAGCTCCGATTGTAGCACCAGGCGAGAGTCCAGCCGAAACGGCGGACGAGGCGACCTGATATTGACTGCAAGCGTAGGAAATCAGTCCCCGCGCCTTCCTCATCTCGGAGAGCAACGTACGAGATACCGAACGCTTCTGCAACCCAGTAGCCACCAAGCGAGAAAGCGCCCCATGTCCCTGCGAAGGAGGCGAGTCAGGGTCTGGCGGAGGAAGAGTGAGAAGGGAGGATGTACGAAGGGGCGAGTCAATCGCGACGGGAAGCATATCCTTCGGGGCGCTGACCTCGACGAGGTCTGTGTCGCCCTCTTTCGCCTCTCGCACAGAGCCATCCTCGCCGACGGCGATGAGATGGGTCTCGCGAGGGATCTTGGCGCGGTTGATAAGGGTTTTGACGGAGGACATCGTCGCCTGGGGAGACGAGGGTAACACTGGCGGTCGTAAAGCGTGAGAAAGAAGCAGGAGAACGAGAAAGGAGCGGCGATAGAAGCGATAGCCGTGCGAAGCTGATCCACCCGGCCAATCGGGAGGAGGGCGCCGTCGGCGAACAAAGGCCCACGGCCAACCAGCGCTGCTCCTGAGCGCTTAGTCCTTATCTACACTCGATCAGGCATTCAAGAGAAGCGTCCCCGCCGAGCCCCTCCTCGTCGACGAAGGACTGATCAACTCGTTCGCCGCCGCCTCGCAGAGCATGCGAGCGGTGCGCGCGGGTCAGGGAAGCACCTTGGCGCACGGAAAAGCAGTTGAATCTAGTCGGCGTGCCTAGCGACGGCGGTTCTGGCGAGCGGGGGAAGGGAAAGCGCAAAGACGCAAGACCGGCGGATACCCTCGTCTGGACTCCCTCCGCAGAGATAGAGCCAATCGTCTATGACATCTAACGTAGGCAGGGATGTCTATCGGTGCTGCGCCCGGCGCTTCACCACCCAGATCCAACCGACGCATCGAAGCCCACATCCTGTCCCCATTCTTGTGGCTGATCCAGTACGTTGAGCCATTCCTCGAGGTCTGGTAACTCCAAGGCGTTCGAGCCAAACAGCCCCAGCGAGTCTCCCATCGAGACGCCGCCGGCGGACGAGGCCAACCGTCCCAACCCGTCCACGGCGGCAGGCATCTCGCCGTACCCGCCTTCCTCTGCCGCACCTGCGAGACTTGCCAGCGCATCCAGCACGAGTGCGTCGTCCGCTCCAGCGCCATTCGCGTCCATACCCGCGTCCTCCGCTAGGTTCGTGCTCTGCAGAGCTGCAATAACCTCGCTGTAGTCGTCGCTCGCCGCATCCGCATGCATCGCAGATGTGAGGCGTTCTGCGACGCTTGCTGCGCGACTCAGCGCGGCATCGGCGCGGGTCCAGCCGTAGCTGTCGCGCGCGGCGTGCAAGACCGAGCAGAGACGGCCGAGGAGGAGGACCGGCGAGGATGTTGGCGTAGCTGGGCGATCGAAAGAGGAGGCGTGCGATGTGACTGATGCTGATGGCGAGTGTCTGCTCGAGAGGCTTGCGAGAGAGAGGCGGACAAGGGAGGACAAGACGGAAGAGAGGATGTGCGAGGTGTCTGTGAGGCGGAATGTCAGCGCGATGCAGCGCTTAAGGGCGAGAGACGCACAAGGAAGCCATGACTGCTCCGCGCCAAAGGACGACTCCCGTAGCATCGAGCAAAAAGTGACGAATTCGGCGAAGATCTCGAGCGTGTTGCCGTCGGGTGCGAATGCGCTGCCAAGGCCGATCCGAACCTCGATGTTGATGCGTCGAATCATGCAACGGAGGGCGAAGAGGCAGAAGAGCAGGCAGTCTGCGGAGAGGAGGGAGTCAAGCTCAAGCGAGAAAGGCTGAGGAGAGAAGCGGACGAACCCATTCCAGGCGAGCGAGCGTGCGCCGAGACGTACCCCCTGATGCTCTCCTTCAGCGCGTTCAGGTCCTTCTCGAGCGCGTCGCAAGCATCGGCGCGAGAGGACGAGCCGTAGTTGTCCAGCGTCGAAACCTCCGCCTGGAGCTGCCCGACGACGAGGGCGAGTCGGCATGCGAAGACGAACGAGATCTCTGTGCTGTCGACATCGCTCGCTGTCGTATGGGCGGCGAAAGTCGGCAACGGAACATTCGCGTTTCCGGCCTGAATGTGCGATGGTCGCGAGTTCAGAAAGGAAGCCTGCGAATCTTGGTCTTCAGCAGTCGAGACGATTGGATCCCGACGACGAGCTCACCCATGCATCATGGATGCGCAAGCACCACCACAGCCGCTGCCGAAGCGACTTCTCCCAGTCCGGGATCGCCCAAGACCGGCAGTCGATGTGCAAGCTGGAGAAGCGAGGTCAGCAGAGTCGGTCAGAACCGCTAGGGGATCACGCACCCAAGAAGCTGAGCGTGTGCTATTGTCTGGCGTCCGACAAAGGTCAGCACAGTCGAAGCTGATATTTCGAAGAGCGCGCACCTTCGCAAGCAACGCATAGTCGCCTCTCGGGTCCATCGACGTCGACAGCTCGAGTATAGCGGTTGCCAAGCTACTCAGCTTCGGCCGGTCGAGCATCCTCTCGCCCAGCTTCTCCTCCTTCAAGAGACGCCAGGCGTAGTCGCCGTTACCGCGGAGCGAGGGGAAGTAACCGAGTGTTTCGACCAAGATCGAAGCACGGAGGCTTGGAGGAAGGGAGTCTGGGGGATGGATCGGCGAGAGCGGGAGAACAGGCAGAGTAGGGTGGATGAAGGAAAGATAGTGGTCGATGAGCGTCTCCTCGGAAAGGTGCGGTGCGGTGGAAGCGATGAATGAGCGGACGCGACGGAGAGTCGTCGCTTCGAAGTCGTCGAGAAGCGGTCGATCTGAGGGAGAGATGCGGTCAGCGAGAAAGAGAAGAAGCCCATACGTGCGACTCACGAGAAGGTGTTGCGTGAAAGAGGATGAACTGCGCGCGGCTGTGGTCGCTCGAGATCTGTCGAGACGTGCCGACTGTCTGGTGATTGAGCAGGTCGTCGGTAAGGGTAGCGGTGACTGCGCAAGGCTCGACGCCTTCCGGCAGATCTCGGTCGAGAGAGGCGGGTGTCCAAGACGCGGCGGGAAGTACTGCAGCTCGCTTCTGAGCGGGCTCGCCAGCCGAGAACGCTACTCGGGGGCGCTTGAGAGCGGAAGGCGCGGGTCGAGCTGTTGGAGCGAGGGCAGGGAGACTGTTCGAGGGTTGCGTCAAAGAGGTCGAAGTGAGCGGGGGTAGCGGGAGGTCGGTTAGGGCGGACGTAGGTGACTGCGACGTCGCGTCTTTCTTCGGCCTTGCTGGTGGCGGTAGTAGATAGGTGCAGCTGCGTCCCGTCGCCTTGCACTCGACGCACGGCTCTCCCTCGACGGGCACCGCACATCGGTTCTTCCGCTTCCGACACATGTCGCATGGGCGAACCTTCTTACTCTGCTCGCGAGACTTGTCAGCGAGCACTCGGTAGGGCGGATCGAGGAGGAAAGGTCAACGCACTCGAAACGGCCTCGTCCCAGTCGGTCCTGCCGGGTCGCCGATACCACCCGCAGCTCCAGTACCTCCCACAGAACCTGGAAAGCCTGTCAAAGCC